TGAGTGCGCAGAATGGAAGCCGGTTGCCCTTGAGCACGTCCCAGCTTGACTTTGTTTTTTTAGCTTTTGATTTTGGGGACCGAGGATACTTCCCTTTCACCGCCTCCGTTACGATACGTAGACCGTGTGCTTTATTCACAGAATTAAAATGTATTTATATATATGTGAAAGAAGCAAGAGCTACGAGCGTTCAGCCACCTTGAAGTGTTGTTAAGGAAATTGTGTAGCAAGTGGACTGCCTCTGGGCCTCTCCGGAGCCAGAGGGAAATGTCATTGCTCTGATACTTCTCCTTGTCTTATTGAGAAGAACGGCGTGGCCAATTCTACGGCCAGTGGCCTATTCCTAGCATTCAATTCTAAAGGGACTGTACGGTGGCTCGTGCCTGTACTCCCAGCACTTTGGGAGGCCGAGGCGGGCAGATCATGGGGTCAAGAGACAGAGATCATCCTGACCAAGATGGTGAAACCCCATCTCTACTAAATATACCTGTGGGACGGGGAACCCGAGGCATGTGGGACGCGGAACCCGAGGCATGTGGGACGCGGAACCCGGGGAATGCCGGACGGGGAACCCCGGAGAATGCGTGATGGGGAACCTAGGGCATGTGGGACGCGGAACCCGAGGCATGTGGGACGCGGAACCCGAGGCATGTGGGACACGGAAAGCCGGAGAATGTGGGACGCGGAACCCGAGGCATGTGGGACACGGAAAGCCGGAGAATGCGTGATGGGGAACCTGGGGCATGTGGGACCTGGAACCCGGGGCATGTCGGACGGGAAACACCGTGAATGTGGGACGGGAAACACCGGGAATGTGGGAAGGGGAACACAGGGAACCCGGGACACGTGGGAAGGTGAATCCCGGAGAATGTGGAACGGGGGAACACCGGGAATGTGTGTCAGGTAACCTGGGGGATGTGGGACGCGGAACCCCGGGAATGTGGGACGGGGGGAACCCGGCGCATGTGAGAAGGGGAACCCTGGGGAATGTGGGACGGGGGGAACCCGGCGCATGTGAGAAGGGGAACCCTGGGGAATGTGGGACGGGGAACCCCGGAAATGTGAGATGCGGAACCCCGGAAATGCGGGACGGAGAACTCGGGGAATGCAGGAAGGGGAATCCCGGGAATGTGGGAAGGGGAACCGCGGAAATTTCGGACGTGGAACCCGCGGCATGTGAGACGGGGACTCCACGGAACGTGGGACTCCGAATCCGGGGCATCTGTAATGCAGAAGCCCGGAAATGTTGGATGCGGAACCTGGGCATGTGGGACGGGAAACCCCGGAAATGTGGGACCAGGAACCCTGGAAATCTGGGACGGGAACCCAGGGAATGTGGGAAGGGGAGCCCGGGAAATGCGGGAAAGGGAACACGGGGAATGCGGGACGGGGAACCCGGGGCATGTGGAAAGGGGAACCCGGGGAATGCGGGAAGGGGAACCCCGGAGAATACCTGATGGGGAACCTGGGGCATGTGGGAACAGGAACCCGGGGCATGTGGGACGGGAAACACCGTGAATGTGGGACGGCCAACACCGGGAATGTGGGACAGGGAACACCGGGAATGTGGGACGGGAAACACCGGGAATGTGGGACGGGGAACACCGGGAATGTGGGACGGGGAACACCGGGAATGTGTGATCGGGAACCCGGGGAATGTGGAACGCGGAACCCGGGACACGTGGGAAGGGGAATCCCGGAGAATGTGGAACGGGGGAATACCGGGAATGTGGGTCGGGTAACTTGGGGAATGTGGGAAGGGGAACACCGGGGGATGTGGGACAGGGAACCCGGGGCATGTGGGACGCGGAACCCCGGGAATTTGGGATGGGGAACCCGGCGCATGTGCGAAGGGGAACCCTGGGGAATGTGGGACGGGGAACCGGAGAAATGCGGGAAGGGGAACCCCGGAAATGCGGGACGGAGAACTCGGGGAATGCAGGAAGGGGAATCCCGGGAATGTGGGATGTGGAACCCAGGGAATGTGGGAAGGAGAACCGCGGAAATTTCGGACGTGGAACCCGCGGCATGTGAGACGGGGACTCCACGGAATGTGGGACTCCGAACCCGGGGCATGTGTAATGCAGAAGCCCGGAAATGTTGGATGCGAAACCTGGGGCATGTGGGACGGGAAACCCCGGAAATGTGGGACCAGGAACCCTGGAAATCTGGGACGGGAACCCAGGGAATGTGGGAAGGGGAGCCCGGGAAATGCGGGAAACGGAACACGGGGAATGCGGGACGGGGAACCCGGGGCATGTGGAAAGGGGAACCCGGGGAATGCGGGAAGGGGAACCCCGGGTATGTGTGACGCGGAACCAGGGGCATGTGGGAAGGGGAACCCTGGAGAATACCTGATGGGGAACCTGGGGCATGTGGGACGGGAAACACCGGGAATGTGGGACGGGGAACACCGGGAATGTGGGATCGGGAACCCGGGGAATGTGGGAAGGGGAACACAGGGAACCCGGGGCACGTGGGAAGGGGAATCCCGGAGAATGTGGAACGGGGGAATACTGGGAATGTGGGTCGGGTAACTTGGGGAATGTGGGAAGGGGAACCCGGGGCATGTGGGACGCGAAACTCCGGGAATTTGGGATGGGGAACCCGGCGCATGTGCGAAGGGGAACCCTGGGGAATGTGGGACCAGGAACCGGAGAAATGCGGGACGGAGAACCCGGGGAATGCAGGAAGGGGAATCCCGGGAATGTGGGATGTGGAACCCAGGGAATGTGGGAAGGGGAACCGCAGAAATTTCGGACGCGGAACCCGCGGCATGTGAGACGGGGACTCCACGGAATGTGGGACTCCGAACCCGGGGCATGTGTAATGCAGAAGCCCGGAAATGTTGGATGCGAAACCTGGGGCATGTGGGACGGGGAACCCCGGAAATGTGGGATGGGAACCCGGGGAATGTGGGAAGGGGAGCCCCGGGAATGTGTGACGGGGAACCCGGGAAATGCGGGACGGGGAACCCGGGGCATGTGGGATGCGGAACCTGGGAAATGTGGGACGGGGAACCCGGGGAATGTGGGACGGGGAGCCACGGGAATGCGGGATGGGAACCCGGGGAATGTGGGACGGTGAGCCCCGGGGAATGTGGGACGGGGTACACGGGGAACCCGGAGCATGTAAGACGGAAACCCGGGGAATGGGAACCCGGGAAATGAGAGACGGGGAGCCCCGGGAATGTGGGATGGAGAACCCGCGGAACGCGGGAAGGGGAACCCCGGGCATTTGGGACACGGAACCCTGGGAATGTGGGACGGGGAACCCAGGAAATGTGGGATGCGGAACCCCGAGAATGTGGGACGGGGAACACGGGGAACCCGTGGCATGTGGGACGGAAAGCCGGGGAATGTGGGAAGGGGAACCCGGGGAATGCGGGATGGTGACCCAGTGAATGCGGGACGCGGAACCCGAGGAATGTGGGACGCCGAACCCTGGGAATGTGGCACGTGGAACCCGGGGAATGCGGGACGGGGAACCCGGGAAATGTGGGACGGGGAACACGGGAAGGGGAACGCCGGGAATGTGGGAAGGGAAACCCGGGGCATGTGGGACGCAGAACCAGGGGCATGTGCGACGCGGAACCCGGGAATGTGGGACGGGGAACCCGGGGAATACGGGAAGGGGAACCCCGGGAATGTGCGACGCGGGACCCGGGCACGTGACCTGCTTGTCAGGTATTCCTGCTCGCCAAAGGCAACAGCAACAGCCCTTCCTCCTACCGTATTGGTGGAGGGCCGCCTGCCTGTCATTCCAGACCTCACTTTGGGGCTGATATTCGGGCTCAGAAGAATCTCGGTGTCATGTATTTATTTTTTGAGGCAGAGTCTCGCTGTCTCGCCCAGGCTGGAGTGCAATGGCGCCATCTCAGCTCACTGCAACCTCCGCCTCCCGGGTTCAAGTGATTCTCCTGCCTCAGCCTCCCGAGTACCTGGGATTACAGGCACCCGTCACCACGCCCGGCTAATTTTGTATTTTTAGTAGAGATGGGGTCTCTCCGTGTTGGCCAGGCTGGTCTCGAACTCCCGACCTCAGGCGATCCTCCCCTTTCGGCCTCCCAAAGTGCTGGGATGACAGGCCTGAGTCTCCGCGCTCGACCACAATCTCTGTTTTAAATAATGAAGGGGAGCCGATCAGATCCAGAACAACCCCACCCAACGGAAATGACAGCTACTTTCTAAAGCATTTAGATGTTACGAAGCAGATTCGTGCACTTAATAGAAATCGAGCATCATTATCACGTAAGAAACCTCAGGAAGGTTATCTTACCAACTGCAATTGATAAGAGAGTTGTTCTTCCTATAAAAGCACCTAGTATTAAAGAAAGGCTTTGAGGGCTTCATTCATATGCCATTCACTCTTCTTTCCTTTTTGAGGTGAAGTTTTGCTCTCTAGGCCAGGCTGGAGTGCAGTGATGCCATCTCGGCTCACTGCAGCCTCCGCCTCCCGGGTTCCAGGAATTCTCTCACCTCAGCCTCCCAAGTAGCTGGGATTAGACACCCACCATGATGCCTGGCGAATTTTTGTGTTTTTAGAAGAGACGGGGCTTCGTTATGTGGACCAGGCTGATCTCAAACTCCTGACCTCAAATAATCTACCTGCCTCAGCTTCCCAAAGTGCTGGGATTACAGGTTTGAGCCACTGCCCCCGGCCACCATTAATTATATATATAAATGTTTTATATATATATGTTATATATAATTATATATTATTTAATTATTATATAATACATAATATATACTAAAATTTTTATTATGTATTATATATATAATTTTATTGCATTTTAGGTTTGGGGGTACATGTGAAGAACATGTAGGATAGTTGCATAGGTACACACGTAGCAGTGTGATTTGCTGCCTTCCTCCACATTACTTGTATCTGGCATTTCTCCCCATGCTATCTCTTTCCAAGTCCCCACCCCCCACTGTCCCTCCCCTATTTCCCCCAACATACCCCAGTGTGTGATGCTCCCCTCCCTGTGTCCATGTGTTCTCATTGTTCAACACCCACCTATGAGTGAGAACATGTGGTGTTTGATTTTCTGTTCTTTTGTCAGTTTGCTGAGGATGATGGTTTCCAGCTTAGTCCATGTCCCTACAAAGGATACAAACTCTTTTTTGATGGCTGCGTAGTATTCCATGGTGTATATGTGCTACATTTTCCCTGTCCAGTCTACCATCAATGGGCATTTGGGTTGGTTCCAGGTCTTTGCTATTGTAAACTGTGCTGCAGTGAACATTCGCGTGCATGTGTCCTTATACTAGAACGATTTATAGTCCTTTGGGTATATACCAAGTAATGGGATTCCTGGGTCAAATGGAATTTCTATTTCTAGTGTCCTAACTCCAAATACCTCTGACTGGGACCTAATTTAGAAATAGGATCTTTGCAGATGGAATTAAGTCAAGAGGAGGTCATTATAGCAGACCCTTGAGAAGGCCACGTGGGGACAGAGGCACAGAGTGGAGTGCTGCGGCCACAAGCCCAGGGATGCTGGAGCCCCCAGACCTCGGGGAGGCCAGAAGGATCCTCCCTTCCACCCTTACAGATACCCCAGAGTAATGTTCAATCGAACACCTAGGCACCCCATGCTCCAGTCAAGTGAACACATAATATGAACTCTTCCAACGTCGTTCTCAGTATAAGAAGGCCCCTACAGGCAATGACACGTGTCCTTTTAAGAGACAGACGAGGAGACACAGACGCTGAAGGAGAAGTCCGTCCATCCCTAGAGGATCTGGGAGGCAGGAAGCATGTCTGGGTCTTAATCCCTCTCCTGGTGCAGCAACATTCATATCAGATTAGAGCCCATATTGATGACCTCATTTTACCCGAATTACCTCTTTAAACATCCTAACACTCTGAGGTCCTCGGGGTTCAGGCTTTAACCCATGAATTTCAGAGATGACGGTGTTGGAAATAGATACTCAGTGCTGCAAAGAAAATCAGCCCTGAGACAGAGGATCTTTCAGCCACGCAGTTTTTACTTCCCGGACTGCAGGAAGGGGGCCCTCACTAGCCACGTGCCAAGAAAATGTGGAAAGCGGAACGACAGGAATGCGGGACGTGGAACCGGGGGCATGTGGGATGCGGAACCCGGGGAATGTGGGACGGGGAACCCCGGGGCATGTGGGATGCGGAACCCCGGAAATGTGGGACGGGGAACCCGGGGAATGTGGGACGGGGAACCCGGGAAATGTGGGATGAGAAACCCGGGGCATGTGGGACGGAAACCCAGGGAATGTGGGACGGGAACCCGGGGAATGTGGGACGGGAACCCGGGAAATGTGGGACGGGGAACCCGGAGCATGTAAGACGGAAACCCGGGGAATGTGGGAAGGGGAACCCGGGAAATGAGAGACGGGGAGCCCCGGGAATGTGGGATGGAGAACCCGCGGAACGCGGGAAGGGGTACCCCGGGCATTTGGGACACGGAACCCTGGGAATGTGGGACGGGGAACCGGGGGCATGTAGGAAGGGGAACCCAGGAAATGTGGGATGCGGAACCCCGGGAATGTGGGACGGGGAACACGGGGAACCCGTGGCATGTGGGACGGAAACCCAGGGAATGCGGGAAGGGGAACCCGGTGAATGCGGGACGTGGAACCCGGGGAATGTGGGAAGGAGAACCCCGGGAATGTGGGACGCGCAACCCTGGGAATGTGGCACGTGGAACCCGGGGAATGCGGGACGCGGAACCCAGGGAATGTGGGACATGGTACCTGGGGAATGCGGGAAGGGGAATCCAGGGAATGTGGGATACGGAACCCGGGGAATGTGGGGCAGGGAACCCGGATAATGTGGGAAGGGGAACCCCAGAAATTTCGGACGCGGAACCCGCGGCATGTGAGACGGGGACCTCAGGGAACGTGGAACTCTGAACCCTGGGCATGTGGAATGCGGAACCCCGGAAATGTGGGATGAGAAACCCGGAGCATGTGGGACGGAAGCCCCGGAAATCCGGGACAGGGAACTCGGGGAATCTGGGACGGGGAACCCGGGGCATGTGGGACGTAGAACCAGGGGCGTGTGCGACGCGGAATCCCGGGAATGTGGGATGGAGAACCCGGGAATGTGGGAAGGGGAACCCAGGAAATGAGAGACGGGGACCCCCGGGAATGTGGGATGGAGAACCCGCGGAACGTGGGAAGGGGAACCCGGGGCATTTGGGACACGGAACCCTGGGAATGTGGGACGGGGAACCGGGGGCATGTAGGAAGGGGAACTCAGGAAACGTGGGATGCGGAACCCCGAGAATGTGGGACGGGGAACACGGGGAACCCGTGGCATGTGGGACGGAAAGCCGGGGAATGCGGGATGGTGACCCAGTGAATGCGGGACGCGGAACCCGGGGAATGTGAAATGCGGAACCCCGGAAATATGGGATGAGAAACCCGGGGCATGTGGGACGGGGAACCCGGGAAGGGGAACCCCGGGAATGTGGGAAGGGGAACCCGGGGCATGTGGGACGCAGAACCAGGGGCATGTGCGACGCGGAACCCGGGAATGTGGGACGGGGAGCCCCGGGAATGTGCGACGCGGGACCCGGGCACGTGACCTGCTTGTCAGGTATTCCTGCTCGCCAAAGGCAACAGCAACAGCCCTTCCTCCTACCGTATTGGTGGAGGGCCGCCTGCCTGTCATTCCAGACCTCACTTTGGGGCTGATATTCGGGCTCAGAAGAATCTCGGTGTCATTTATTTATTTTTTGAGGCAGAGTCTCGCTGTCTCACCCAGGCTGGAGTGCAATGGCGCCATCTCAGCTCACTGCAACCTCCGCCTCCCGGGTTCAAGTGATTCTCCTGCCTCAGCCTCCCGAGTACCTGGGATTACAGGCACCGGTAACCACGCCCGGCTAATTTTGTATTTTTAGTAGAGACGGTGTTTCTCCGTGTTGGCCAGGCTGGTCTCGAACTCCCGACCTCAGGCGATCCTCCCCTTTCGGCCTCCCAAAGTGCTGGGATGACAGGCCTGAGTCTCCGCGCTCGACCACAATCTCTGTTTTAAATAATGAAGGGGAGCCGATCAGATCCAGAACAACCCCACCCAACGGAAATGACAGCTACTTTCTAAAGAATTTAGATGTTACAAACCAAGTTCATGCACTTAATAGAAATTGAGCATCATTATCACGTAAGAAACCTCAGAAAGGTTATCTTACCAACTGCAATTGATAGGAGAGTTGTTCTTCCTATAAAAGCACCTAGATATTAAAGAAAGGCTTTGAGGGCATCGCTCATATGCTCATACTTTTTATATTTTTAGTAGAGACGGGGTTTCTACTAATTTTTGTATTTTTAGTAGAGATGGGGTTTCACCATATTGGTTAGGCTGGTCTAGAACTCCTGACCTCGTGATCTACCCACCTCAGCCTCCCAAAGTGCTTGGATTACAGGCCTGAGCCACTGCGCCCAGCCATATGTATCTGCTCACTTATGTTTTTGAGACAAGGTCTCACCCGGAGACCCAGGCTGGTATGCAGTGGCGCAGTCACAGCTCCCGGCAGCCTTGCCTTCGGGGCTGAAGCCATCCCCCCACCTTAGCCTCCTGAGTAGCTGGGACTAACTACACTATGTTGCTCAGGTTGGTTTCAAACTCCTGGGCTCAAACCATCCCCCCACCTTACCCTCCCAAAGTGCTAGCATGGCAGGCGTGAGCCACAGTGTCTGGCCTTGTAACAATCATCTGTCACCTATCCTTCTTCTGTCCATCATTTATTATCTATCCATCCGTCCATCTACCCATCAATTCATCCATCTTTCTCACCCATGCATCCATCCATCCATCCACCTACCCATCCATCCACCCATCATCCATCATCTATTCACCCATGTATCCTTCTCACCCTGCATCCATCCATCCATCTATCTACCCATCATCTACCATCTATTCACCCATCCATCCTTCTCACCCATGCATCCATCCATCCACCTACCTACCCATCCATCCATCCATCTCATCCATTCATCATCTATCATCTATTCATCCATCCATCCTTCTCACCCATGCATCCATCCATCTACCCATCCGTCATTTACCATCTATTCACCCATCCATCCTTCTCACCCATCCATCCATCTACCCATCATTTACCATCTATTCACCCATCCATCCTTCTCACCCATGCACCCATCCATCCATCCACCTATCCATCACCCACCATGTATTCACTCATCCATCCTTCTCATCCATGCCTCCATCTATCCATCCATTTATCTCGGTGTGCATTATCTATCTATTCATCCATCCATCAATCTATCCATCCATCCGCCTATGTATCACCCAGCATCTATTCATCCATCCATCCTTCTCATCCTTGCATCCATGTATCCATCCGTCCATCTGTCTACCTACCCACCCATCATGTCCCATTTATCCATCCATCCTTCTCGTCCATGCATGCATCCATCCATCCATCTGCCATCCATCATCCATGCATCTTTCTACCATCTGTTCATCCATCCATCCAGGAGAACGGGAACAGGCCCAGGCCATGCAGCCAGCCAGCCAGCCATCTCTCAATCTAATCTCCCTGTCTCTCTCCCCTCCCCTACTTGCGTGGGTCTCCTGGGCAGGGCTTCTCGGCAGCCTCTGTTCACTGTTCTGAGCTCCAGTTGCCCGCTGTGTGCTCTGCTGGCCCCTGAAGGATCCCTGCCTGGCTGGCCAAGACTCCAGCTCTGCTCTCCCCTCAGGGGCCGGCCTGCTGCTGGTGGAGACACTGCTGGACGAAGAGAAGAGGGAGGCCCGGGTCGCCCTGCTGCAGTCGCTGAACATGCTGGTGCAGGTGGGGGGCAGGGAGCGGAGCCCGGGCGAGTACCAGCGCTTGCTAGAGCAACACGGCTTCTGCCAGGTGCAGGTGGCACACTTGGGGGGTATCCTGGATGCCATGCTGGCCACCAGAGTGGGTCCCTGAAACCCAGGCAGCGTGCTCATGATAGGGACACCCTCCCGCAGGCTGCAGGGGGCCGCCCCATCCCCAGCTGCCACAGGACAGTCACACAGGAACATGCAGTCGTGGGTGAATAAAGAAAGCGAAAGCCTGTGTCTGGCTCCTCTGTGGGGGGTTTGATGAGGGAAGAGGCTGCATCTGGGACGGAGGCTGCATCTGCGGAGGAGGGGAAGGAGGGAAAGGACAGTGCATTTGGGGAGGAGGTGAAGGAGGCTGCATTTGGGGAGGAAGGGAAGGAAGCTGCATTTGGGGAGGAAGGGAAGGAGGGTGCATGTGGGGAGGAAGGGAAGGAGGGTGCATCTGGGGAGGAAGGGAAGGTGGGTGCATCTGGGGAGGAGGTGAAGGAGGCTGCATTTGGGGAGTAACAGAAGGAGGCTGCATCTGGGGAGGAAGGGAAGGAGGGTGCATCTGGGGAGGAAGGGAAGGTGGGTGCATCTGGGGAGGAAGGGAAGGAGGGTGCATCTGGGGAGGAAGGGAAGGAGGGTGCATCTGGGGAGGAAGGGAAGGAGGGTGCATCTGGGGAGGAAAAATTACCACACACTGAACTCCAGCCTGATGTGTTTTTTCAGACTGTTTTGCTCTCATTGCCAAGGCCAGAGAGCAATGGCGCAATCTCGGCTCACCACAACCTCTGCCTCCCGGGTTTAAGCGATTCTCCTGCCTCAGCCTCCCGAGTAGCTGCGATTACAGGCGTCTGCTAACACACCCGCTATTTTTTGTATTTTTAGTACAAACTAGGTTTCACCGCGTTGGCCACGCGGGTCTCAAACTCCTGACCTCAGCTGATTCACCCGCCCCAGCCTCCCAAAGTGCTGGGAGCCACCTCGCCAGGCCTAGTTTATCTGTTTTCTTAAGCACAAAACGGCCGGGTGTGGTGGCTCACGCCTGTAATCCAAGCACTTCGGAGGCCAACGCAGGTGGATCACCTGACGTCAGGAGTTCAAGACCAGCCTGACCAACATGGTGAAACCCCGTCTTTATAAAAAAAACAAGCACCAAACCACCTAGAGATTCTTTCCTGATGTCAGGCAATTGGAAGGTTGGAGCGGCTTGATTTGGGGGTTACTGAGACGTGTGTGACCTCTGAAGAAAACCACACCCACCTGTCCATCTAGCACTTTCAAACAGGCTCCCTGCGCTTACACATTTCCCGCAGGCTTCGCGTTCCTGTAGAAAACAGCCGCAGGGGTTTAGACACCCACGTAACTTATCAAATACATAAGCACAGAGAAATTCTGGCCGGGAACGGTGGCTCACGCCTGTAATCCCAGCAATCTGGGAGCCTGAGGTCGTCAGATGTTCTGAGGTCAGGAGTTTGAGACCACTCTGGCCAACATGGCAAAACCCATCTCTCCTAAAAATACAAAAATCAGCCAGGCGTGGTGGCAGAAACCTGTAATTTCAGTTCTTCAGGGGAGGCTTGAACCCAGAAGCAGAGGTTGCAGCGAGCCGAGATCACGCCACTGCACTCCAGCCTGGGCAACAGGGTGAGACTCCATCTCAAAAAAATTTAAAAAAAAATACAAAGCAGCTCTGCCCCGCCAGGGCCTTTCAGGATGCAGATTCCACGAGGGCATCTGCTTATCAGGCAGCTGTGATCTCTAATGCCCACTGGTCATTTCATAAGAGGCTGGCAGAGAAGGGTGACTGGCAGGTGGCAGGGGAGTGCCTCATTCCTCTGTCCTCGGTTCTTGGAGGGGGCGGGTGGTGAGACACACAGCTCTGCCCCCACTCCACAGCAGATGTTGTGTCTCCCATTCCCAGTTCCCGGGTGCGAGGCCCACCTGGACCCTCCTCTTCTAGGAAGGCCGTGTCTCCGCGTTCGGGAGCAGGTGGCCCCCGAGACCTCCCAGGTCAGGTGCTATTCAGGCCCAGGGAGTGTGTTGTTACCTCCCAGATAGGAAAGGAAAACGCATGAGTGTCCAAGGCTAAGTCCACGTGCAGCCCTGATTAGCGACTAATTCATTCATTCATCCCAATCCCAGTTAGCAATTCATTCATTCATCCATCCCAGTTAGCAATTCATTCATTCACCCCATTTAGGCATTCATTCAGTCACCCCAGTTAGCAATTCATTCATTCACCCCATTTAGGCATTCATTCAGTCACCCCAGTTAGCAATTCATTCATTCACCCCATTTAGGCATTCATTCATTCATCCCAGTTAGTGATTCATTTTCATCCCAGGGAGCAATTCATGCATTCACTCACCCTACTCAGCAATTCATTCATACATTCCAGAAGCATTTGCTGAGCGCATCCTGGGTGCGAGACCCAGGCACCCAGGCATCGTTCAAAGCCGGCAGACAGCACCGCCCTGCCTGTCACAGTCAGCAAGCCCGGGTCAGCTGAGGGCTCAGCACACAGAGGGCCGTCTCAGCGTCTGGACACTGTTAGCAGTCCCCGCCCGCATGGAAGGGACCTTCTTCTCCTGTAAGACAGGATTTGCGGACTTGGAACACCAGGCCTGCAGCCCCGGCCGGAGCACCTGCAAACCAACCTCATCTGGAAACAGCAGCTCCGGCTCCCTGGGCGCTGAGAACCGGCTGATGCTGGGAAATGAACTTGGGCCTCAGCAAACTCCCCACCCCCGCCCAGCCTCTGTCCCCTACTCCAGGGCCCATGCAGGGAACCTGGCTCAGTCTGGGTCCTAGCGGGAGAGCGTCAGGAATGCGCTTGGTCTCCACAGCCCTCCCCACAGCAATCTCCCGAGGTCAGACCTTTCCACGGCTCAGTGACTTCTGAGCCACCGTCTCCCCATCCAGCAGCCACCCCAGCACCCAGAGCCCGTTCCAACCGCCCTCCCCAGAGGTCAGGAATGGCCTCAGGCAGGGCTCACAGCGACACTGCACTAAGGGTTCACCCAAGTCAGGGACCACCGCCTTCCCAGTACACAAGGGACAGGAAAAGCAAGAGCGAGAAAGACAGACATGGAGAGAAAAGAAAGGAGGGGACAAGGAAGCAGAAGGAAAGAAAAAAGACACAGGGAAAGAAGAGGAGGGAGGGACGAAAATGGAAGAAGGAAGGAGACGGGGAGGAAAAAGGGAAAGAGGGAGAGACGGGGAAAGGCAGCAAATGAAAGGAAGGGGAGGGAAGAAGGAAGGGAGGGGCGGGAGAAACGGAGGAAGAGAGAAGAGGAGGAGGCAGGGAGATAGGAAAGAGAAAAAAAGGGGATGGAGGGAGAAACGGGGAAAGGAAGAAAAAGAGAGAAGGGAGAAAAAAAGGGGCAAGAGGGAAAAGTGGAGAAAGGACGGAGGGAGAGAAGAAAAAAAAGAAAAAAGGAGGAGGAGGGACGAAAGACGGAGGCAGGGCGGGAGGGACTAAAGGAAAAGGGAAGGAAGGCCGGGCGCGGGGGCTCAGCCTGTTATCCAGCACTTTGGGAGGCTGAGGAGGGCGCATCCCCTGAGGTCAGAAGTTACAGACCAGCCTGGCCAACATGGTGAAGCCCCGTCTCTACTAAAAATGACAAAAATTAGCCGGGCGTGGTGACACACAACTGTAATCTCAGCTACTCAGGCGGCTGAGACAGGACAGTCGCTTGACCCCGGGAGGTGGAGGTTGCAGTGAGCCGAGATTGAGCCACTGCACTCCAGCCTGGGCCACGGACCCAGACTCCTTCTTAAAAAATCCCGCGGTGACTCAAGCCTGTAATCCCAGCACTTTGGGAGGCCGAGGCGGGTGGATCACAAGGTCAAGAGATCGAGACCATCCTGGTCAAGGTGAAACCCCGTCTTTACTAAAAATACAAAAATTAGCTGGGGATGGTGGCGCGTGCCTGTAGTCCCAGCTCCTCGGGAGGCTGAGGCAGGAGAATTGCCTGAACCCAGGAGGCGGAGGCTGCCGTGAGCCGAGATCGCGTCATTGCACTCCAGCCTGGGTGACAAGAGCGAAACTCTGTCTCCAAATAAATAAATTAAAAAAGGGAGAATAAAAAAGAAAAGAAAAATGGGGGAGACGGGGAAAATCAGAGAGAAAGGGAACAGGGAAATGGAAATAAAGAGGAAAGGGGAAGGAGAAAAACAAAGGAGGGAGAGAGGAAGAAAAAAACAGAAAGGAGGGGAGAAAAGAAAGTAAGGAGGGATGGAGGGAGACAGGAAAGAAAAACAGGGCAGGACAGATGGAGGAAAGGCTCTACGCGGTGGCTCACACTTGTCATCGCTGCACTTTCGGAGGCCAAGGCCGGCAGATCAAGAGGTCAGGAGATCGAGACCAGCCTGACCAAGATGGTGAAATCCCTTCTCCTAAAAACAAAAAAAAAAAGGCGAGAGAAAGACAAAGGAAGAGGAGATGGGAAATGAAAGAAGAAAAGGAGACGGAAGGAAGAAAAGAGAGGAAAAGCAGGGACAGAAAGATGGAAAGAGGGAGAGAGGAAGGAGGGAGGAAAGGAGAACGAGGGAGAAGAGAAAAAGGGGAGACAGAGAAAGGAGGGAGGGAGATGGGAAATGAAAGGAAAAGGGAGGGAAGGAAGGAAAGAGTAAGAGGGAGGGAGGAAAAAGAGAGAGAGAGAGAGAGAGAGACAGAGGGAGAAAAAGGAGGGAGGGAGGAAAAAAATACAGGAAACAGCCAGCCGTGCTGGCTCACGCCTGTAATCCCAGCGCTTTGGGAGGCTGAGGCGGGCGGATCACCTGAGGTCAGAAGTTCCAGACCAGCCTGACCAATATGGTGAAACCCCGTCTTTAAGAATAAAAACATATTTTTTAAAAAAAAGAAAGAAAAAAAAAGGAAAGACGGAGGAAGAAAATAAGGAAAAAAAAAGGAAAGGACGGAGGAAGGAAATAAAAAGAGGGAGCAGAATAGAGAAAAAGGGGAGAAAGAGAAGAGGAAGGGAGATGGGAAATGAAAGAAAGGAAGAGGGAGGGAAGGAAGGAAAGGGAGGGAAAGGGGGGAGGGAGGGAAAGCAGGGAGCGAGACACGGAAAGAGGCAGAAAAAGGAGGAAGGGGAAAAGAGGAAAAGAGCAAAGGCAGGGAGGGAAGGAGGGAGCCAGAAAGGAGAAAACGCAGTAGGAGGAGGCTGAAAAGGCGGGAGGAAGGAGGGAGGGAGGAGGCCGGGAAGAGAGAGGAGGATGGACGGCGAGCCCCAGCCGGGCAGACACAGGGAGACGGCGGGTGCCCCGGGCAGGTGGGCGCGGCCAGGGACCCCCCAGGCAGGCCGCGGAAGGCACCGCGGGGTCAAAGGTCAGAGGCCCAGGGACCCACCCCCGCGCCTCGCACAGGCCGGGCGCGGGGTCCCAGTTCCGAGGCGGGACCGAACCGCCGCAGGCCTCACGCGGGCAGGGGCCAGGGTCTCCCGACGCGCCACCCTGGAGACGGAGGAGTTGGGGGAGGGGGGAGTCCCACCAGCTTGAAGGTCAAGGGTCAAAGGTCGGGGATAGGGGAACCACGTGTAGTGCGTCCCGGCGAGATCGCCGCGGCCTCCGGGAGAAAGCGGACGGCGCTCTCGGAAGTCACCTCCAACGGGATGGACTCCTGACTCCGCAGACGCCCGGCCGCCCACTCGAGCACCGGCAACGCCGTGACCTTCACAAGGTCAAGTTTGCTGCGGACGCCTCTACACATCCCCCCCCAGCCCCTACTGCGCATGGGCGGGGTCGGGCTCCCGGCATACCTCACGGTGCGGGGCGCGGCGTCGCCCGGGAGCGCAGCCAATGGGCGCCGTACGCTGGTGCGCCGGGCGGGCCGCGGCGCGGTACCCGGCAGCCCTCGAGGGCGAGGTACGCAGGCTGAGGGAGGGGCGTGGCCGGGCGACGCAGCCAATGAACGCAGCGCGCGGGGGCGCGGGGCGGGGAGTGGGTGTGGCGTCGGCGTCTTAGCGGCTGCGTGCTGGTAGCCCCATCCTTTCGGTCCCGGCGGCGGCAGGGCTGATCCAGAGACACCTTCCCTTGACTCTCCTCGCCCGCTCTCCGGCTGTCCACCCGCCCCGCTGCCCGCCCCGCCACCATGACGGAACAGGCCATCTCCTTCGCCAAGGACTTCCTCGCCGGAGGCATCGCCGCCGCCATCTCCAAGACGGCCGTGGCCCCGATTGAGCGGGTCAAACTGCTGCTGCAGGTGGGGAGACGCGGGCGCGGCCGCCCCGCGGCGAGGGGATGGGAACCGGGTGGCCTGGCCGGGCGGGTCGAGGTCAGCCGGCCCTGCAGGCAGGCACCGGAAGTGGAAGGCCGCGGGCGCTTTGTCCACGCGCCGCCGGCTTCCGGGGCCTGCGTCACGTGATTGTTGCCGCAGGGGTGGGGACCTCACGCGTGCGCACTGGGCCCGGCGGGAGGGGGAAATGAGGTGCGGGCCGCACGGCGCATGAACGTGAACCTGCGGCGAGCGGGTCTTGACCTTGAACTCGTCATCCTGCAGATTCGCGGGACTCAGACCACCCCTGCTGGCCAGTGTCTGCTCTGCACCCTCCTCCGAGAATGGCGACTCTAAGGCCAACGGGGCGGCGAGCCTGCCGGCAGGTGTCCTGGAATAGCCAGCGTGTGGTTCTGCTGGTTCTTAACCCCTTCGTAGCCCATTTGCGCCATTTTCATGCAGAGCAATGCTTGTTTTTATCTCTTGCATCCAAGTGTCAATAACACTTTGAAGTGTTATTAAAAGTGGCATGATGGGGCCGGGCGTGGTGGCTCACACCTGTAATCCCAGCACTTTGGGAGGCCAAGGCAGGTGGATCACGAGGTCAGGAGTTCAAGGCCACCCTGGCCAACATGGTGAAAGCGCGTATCTATCACGGATTTTAAAAATATTAGCCGGGTGTGGTGGCCGTTGCCTGTAGTCCCAGCTACTCGGGAGGCTGAGGCAGGAGAATGACTTGAACCCGGGACGCGGGGGGGGGGGGTTGCCGTGGGCAGAGGTCACGCCACTGCACTCCAGCCTGGCAACAGGGTCAGGCCACGTCTCAAAAAAACAATAAACTGGCATCATGGTTAGGGACATTGCTGATGAGGATGTCATTGGTAGCTGCACTCCCGGTGATACTGGGAATCGGACTAACAGGCTTGGTTCTAGGGACAGGTGTGGTCTGAGCCTGGTGGCTCCCGCCTGCCATCTCAGCGCTTTGAGAGGCCTGCAGAAGATGGCTTGAGGCCAGCCACGGCGACAGAGAAAGACCCCACCTCAAAAAAAAGTTTTTTTGTCATTTAACAAAGCAGAGAGGCCCTGGGGGGAGGATCGCTTGAGCCCAGGAGTTTGCAAATAGCCAGGACAACATAGCAAGACCCCCACTTCTAAAAACGAATTACTTTTTTTTGAGATGGGAGTTTCTTGGGTTTGTAGCCCAGGTTCAAGCGATTCTCCTGGCTCAGCCTCCCGAGAGGCTGGGATTACAGGCCTACACCACTATACCCAGCTAATTTTTGTATTTTTAGTAGAGACGGGGTCTGGCCAGGCTGGTCTCTTAACTCCTGACCTCCAGGTGATCCGCCCACCTCAGCCTCCTAAAGTGCTGGGATTACAGGTGGGAGCCACTGCAGCCAGCCAGGAAAATTTTTTAAGCGTAGCAGCGTGGGGTGTCCCAGCCCTTTGAGAGGCCCAGGGAGGATCATCTGAGCCTCGGTAGCTTGAGACTAGCTTGGGCAATATAGCAACACTCCATCTCTAGAAATAATTTTTTGAGTTAGTGAGGTTTCATGGCTGCGCCCCTGTAGGCCCAGGTACTCAGGAGACTGAGGTAGGAGGATGACAGAATGCAGCATTTGGAGGCTGTGGCAGTGAAGTACGTGAGACCATGTCTCTTTAAAAAACAAACAGAAAACGGTTCAGTGACTCACAACTGTAATCCCAACACTTTAGGAGGCTGAGGAACACCTGCGGTCAGGAGACTGAGGCCAGCCTGACCAACATGGTGAACCCCGTCTCTACTAAAAATACCAAAAATTAGCTGGGAATGGTGGTGGGCACCTGTAGTCCCAGCTACTGGGGAGGCGAGGCAGGAGAATCTCTTGTTGAACTGAGAGGCAGAGATTGCAGTGAGCCGAGATCACGTCACTGCACTCCAGCCTGGCAACTGAGTGAGACTCTGTCTCAAAAAAAAAAGGAGAGAAAGAAAGGGGCTTGTCCAGGTGAAAGGCACAAGGACAACTTACCATTAATGCCCGCATGGGAGTTCTGTCTCCCAACCTCGGGTGATGCGGCCGCCTCGGCCTCCCGGAGTGCTGTGAGTACAGGCGTGAGGCACCACACTCAGTGACCCAGGCTAATTTTTTGATTTGTTTTGTTTTTTTCCCTGAGAGTATTCCAGGTAACACAAGGTAATTTTCTAAACAGGATGCACCCTGGCTCGGTGCCTGGCTCACACCTGTAATCCCTGCACTTCCCCAGCTACTCAGGAGGCTGAGGCAGGAAAATCGCTTGAACCCGGGAGGTGGAGGTTGCAGTGAGTCAAGAACGTGCCATTGCACTTTTGCTTGGGCAGCAAGAGTGAAACTGTCTCAAAAAGGCGGGCATGGTGGTTTACGCCTGTAATCCCAGCATTTTGAGAGGCCGAGGTGGTCGGATCACCTGAGGTCAGGGGTTCCAGACCAGCCTTGCCAACATGGAGAAACCCTGTCTCTACTAAAATACAAAATTAGTCGAGTGTGGTGGTGAGTGCCTTTAATCCCAGCTACTGGGGAGGCTGAGGCAGGAGAATTGCTTGAACCCGGGAGGTGGAGGACGCAGTGAGCCGACATTGCACCATTGCACTGCAGCCTGGGCAACGAGAGCAAAAATTTGTCTCAAAAACAAAAGGGGAGTGCCGTGTCTAGTGGGGCTGTTTCTGGGTGGTTGGGCACAGGAGTGGTCTGAATGCACGAACGCCCTGTGCGCCCCCAGGTCCAGCACGCCAGCAAGCAGATCGCCGCGGACAAGCAGTACAAGGGCATCGTGGACTGCATCGTCCGCATCCCCAAGGAGCAGGGCGTGCTGTCCTTCTGGAGGGGCAACCTGGCCAACGTCATCCGCTACTTCCCCACGCAAGCCCTCAACTTCGCCTTCAAGGATAAGTACAAGCAGATCTTCCTGGGGGGCGTGGACAAGCACACGCAGTTCTGGCGGTACTTTGCGGGCAACCTGGCCTCTGGCGGGGCGGCCGGCGCCACCTCCCTCTGCTTCGTGTACCCCCTGGATTTCGCCAGAACCCGCCTGGCCGCCGACGTGGGCAAGTCGGGCACGGAGCGCGAGTTCCGCGGCCTGGGAGACTGCCTGGTGAAGATCACCAAGTCCGACGGCGTCCGCGGCCTGTACCAGGGCTTCAGCGTCTCCGTGCAGGGCATCATCATCTACCGCGCCGCCTACTTCGGCGTCTACGACACGGCCAAGGGTACGTGACTGAGGCTGCCGCGCGGCGGCCTGAGGCTGGGGCTTCACACGCACATTGCTGCAGGGCCGGCTCCTCCTGAGGCCTCGCTCCTGGGCCTGCAGAGGCCGTCTTCTCCCCGTGTCCTCAAGCGGTCGTCCCTCTGTGTCTGTGCCCTCACCTCTTCTGTTGATATCTCCGAGTCCATTTCAGGCTGCTGTCACAGAACACCATAGACTGGGTGGCTTAGAAACAGCAGACGTTGATTCTCCGACAGTCCTGGAGGCGGGAGGTCTGAGATCCAGGTGCGGGCAGGGCCGGCTCCTCCTGAGGCCTCTCTCCTGGGCTTGGAGACGCTGTCTTCTCCCCGTGTCCTCACAGGGTCGTCCCTCTGTGTGTGTGTCTGTCCTCATCTCTCTTTAGAAGAGAACTAGGCCCATAGGATCGCGGCCTGCCCTACTGACCTCCTTTAGACTTAAAGATCTTATATGCAAGGACAGCTGCATTCTGAGGTCTGGGGGTGGGGGCTGGGACTTCAGTTTGTGGATTTCAAGGACACGGTGTAAGTCTCATAGTAACCGTGACCGTTCAGAAGGTCAGGCCCAGGCCTGCGGAAATAAAGGCTCCCACAATGTGGCAGAAACACCTCGGGTAGGTCACCTGCCCTGACATGGCAGAAACACCTGCACGTGGCCCTGTGCTCTTCCTCACACAGGCCTCACCCGGCCTCTGGGGCTGTCTTACCGGACTCCGGCAGGCGGCAGGTGGCATTTCCCCCTCCTGGCCCTGCTCCAGCTCTGGGGGTCCTGGCAGAGCTCGGGTGGCACTGCAGGCGCCGTCAGGTGACATGCCGTTTCCCCACAGGCATGCTGCCCGACCCCAAGAACACACACATCGTGGTGAGCTGGATGATCGCGCAGACGGTGACGGCTGTGGCCGGCGTGGTCTCCTACCCCTTCGACACGGTGCGCCGGCGCATGATGATGCAGTCAGGCCGCAAAGGAGGTACCGCGCGGGCTGAGGTGGCCGTAAGGGGAGCCAGGGGCTCCTGGGCATGGGCCCGTGGGAGGCCGGGGCCTGTTAGCAGTGGCGTGTCACACAGTAACCCTGCGATGTGGAAGCGTTTTCCTGCATGATCAGCTTCGGATCTTTTTGAGATTTCATGGTCCAGGCAGTAATCTCAAAATCCCACCTCCCAGGACCACTGGTTACATACGCACCCTTGATCCTGCCCTCTCTGCCTGGATGCAGGGGGAGCTGGGGGCTCCCCGGGTGGGGCCTCAAGTCCACTGTCAAGTCATCGAGGAGACAGTGGCTTAGGAGGACGGCTTGAGCTGGGGGCACTCGGTGACCAGGGCCTCAGTTTCCGCCCCATAATCAGAACTGTAGTTCAGGCGTCTGGGATGTCCCTTCTATGAAGCATCTGCGGGGGTCCAGGTGGCGTCCGCGTCCCGAGGGACGTGCGGCGATGCCCTGACTCTGCCTCTCGTTGCAGCTGACATCATGTACACGGGCACCGTCGACTGTTGGCGGAAGATCTTCAGAGACGAGGGGGGCAAGGCCTTCTTCAAGGGTGCCTGGTCCAACGTCCTCCGCGGCATGGGGGGCGCCTTCGTGCTGGTCCTGTACGACGAGCTGAAGAAGGTCATCTAAGGGTGCGGCGTCACACGCACACATACACACGCACACACACATACACACACCCCAACACAACCACGTAGAATCCTCAACCGAGCGGACCATCAACCTTCCAGAAATTCCAGTCTCTTTCCCAGCCGGATCCTGCGTGCAGACAGCCAGGGAAGGTTCTAGAAAAGGGGGCACACTGTGATCCAGCCATCCATGCCCGATTCCATGTCTTGATCACGGGGGGAGGGAACCATGGCTTCCTCTCGGGCCCCGGGTGAGACACTCCAGTGCTCAGACCTGCAGTCCAGATGCTTGTAGGACCCAAGTCGTGTTTAACTATTTATTTAAAACAAGAGAACCATGTCTTCTGTTTGTACGTAAGCGTTGCCCCTCCTTTGCACAGCAGGGTACTTGTACGTAGCTTCCACGTGTGGCAGTTTCACTGCAAAACAGTACAGCGCAGAGCAGGGCACCCGCCTGGGCTCCAGAACTGGGCACTGGGTCCAGGGACACGGCGGGGCCGTGCACTCTCCCCCCATTTCCCTGGCCTGGGTGCTGCCTCCCAGCACGCCGGGGACAGAGGCCGGTGTCCCAGCTGGGAAGGGGTGGTGTTGAAACAAGGCTGAGGAGGCGGGCTCCCCAGTAGATGGCGAGACCCCCACGACGGCTGTCCTGACTGCCTTTTGTGAAACCGTTTGTACGGCCCTAACACCTTGGGTTGCTTACAAATTGCACGCCTCACAGCTCCGGAGGCTGAAGTCCAGGAATAGAGGTGCCCTCTCCCTACTTTTTTTTTTTTTTTTTTTTTTTTTTCTGGAGGCAGTCTCATTCTGTCACCCAGGCTGGGAGTGCAGTGGCATGATCTCGGCTCACCACAGCCTCCACCTCCCAGGTTCAAACCATTCTCCTGCCTCCGTCTCCTCGGTAGCTGGGACTACGGCCACCTAATTTTTGCGTTTTTAGTAGAGATGCGGTTTTACCGTATTAGGCCGATCTTGAACTGACCTCAGTGGTCCACCCGCTTCAGCCTCTCAAAGTGCAGGGATTACAGGCGTGAGCCACAGCGCCTGGTGTCATGTTCGTATTGTTAGTTGGGATGGGGTTTCACATTAGGCTGCTCTGAACTCACTTCAAGTGGCCCGCCCACCTTGTCCTGTCAAACTGATGGGATTTCAGGCGTGAGCCACCACTCCTGTCCTGGAGTCCCTTTTACAAGGGTACTAATCATCCATGAGGGGTCCCTGCCTCATCTCTTCCCAGAGACCCCCCCACTTCCAACATCATCGCTTTGGACAGAAGTTTCCAACCTGAATCTGGGTAAACTGAGGCAGGCCTGCCCCCCCTCCCCCCGAATTCCCTGTCCATCTGCTGCCATCTCAGGACCATGGAGCCTCCATTCCAGCCTTGAGTGGAGTGAGGGTCCCCACCGTGGAAGCTGCCTTCCCTGTGCACCAGGAAGGGTACTAACCACCAAGCGCGGCAGCTGCGTCCCAGCTCTTGCACTAAACAGTCATTGCAGGGGAAGAAATGCCCGTGTTGAGTCTCCATCAGCCTCAACATGGGACCTTCATGGTGTCAGCCCATGGCTGGGACAGACTGCAGCCACGGTGTTCCAGGAGAGCAGTGGGCTGTCCGGAAAGCTGGGTTGCAAAAGGTGTGGGCAAGTCACTCTCACCCTTCCTGGAGAGCAGTGGTGCGATCCCGTATCACTGCGGCCTCGGCCTCCCAAGTGGCTGGGATTACAAGCGCCTGACGTCATACCCGGCTAATTCTGTATTTTTGGTAGAGGCAACATTTCACTGTGTCGGCCAAGATGTTCTCAACCTCCTGACCTCGTCAGACTCCCAGAGTGCTGTAATGACTCCCAGCCTGGCCGACGTGGTGCAGCCCCATCCCTATTAAGAACACAAAACTAGCTCGCATGGTGGCACCTGCCAGTAATCCCAGCTAATTGGGAGGCCGAGGCAGGAGAATCGCTTGAACCTGGGAGGTAGGTGGAGGTTGCTGTGAGCTGAGACCCCCCACCACTGCACTGCAGCCTGGGGGGAAAAGCGAGACTGACAAAAAAAATCCATGGGGCTGGGCACAGTGGCTCATGCCTGTAATCCCAGCGCTTTGGGAGGCCGAGGTGGGTGGATCACGAGGTCAAGACATCGAGACCATCCTGGTCAGCGTGGTGAAACCCCGTCTCTACTAAAAATACAAAAAAATTAGCTGGGCATGGTGGCGCGTGCCTGTAATCCCAGCTACTCGGGAGGCTGAGGCGGGAGAATTGCCTGAACCCAGGAGGCAGAGGTTGCGGTGAGCCGAGATTGTGCCATTGCACTCCAGCCTGGGTGACAAGCGAAACTCCGTCTCAAAAAAAAAAAAAGTTCACAGTTCCTTCCTGTGGAATTAACGGGGCAGCTTCCACTGGCTCCTCAGGGGGTGTCGGGTTTGTTTTCTGAGTTTTACTCTTGGTCAGGCTGCAGCGCAATGGTGCAGTCTCAGCTCACTGCAACCCCAGCCTCCCGAGTAGGTGGGATTAGAGGCACCCCCGCCCCCCCCCACCATGCCCGGCTAATTCGGTGTTTTTAGTAGACATGGGGTTTCTCCGTGTTGTTCAGGCTGGTGTTGAACTCCCGACCTCAAGTGATTCAAACGGCCAGTCCTGCACAGTCTGGAAATGCTGTCTCTCAGCAAGCCGCGTGGTGGAGGTAACTTCGTAGGAAATAGCACATGATGGCACAGCTCGGGGAGTGAGTCGAGAACTACGCAAGTCACAGTTCTTAGGAGCAGTGGCTCAGCCTGTCATCCCAGCACTTTGGGAGCCTGAAGCAGCTAGATCACCTGGGGTCGGGAGTTCAAGACCAGCCTGGCCAAGATGGTGAGACCCCCGCCTCTACTAAAAACACAAAACTAGCTGGGCATGGTGGCCCATGCCTGTAATCCCAGCTACTGGGAGGCTGAGGCAGGAGAATCACTTGAACCTCAGAAGTGGAGGTTACATTGAGCCAAGGTCATGCCATTGTACTCCAGCCTGGGCAACAAGAGTGAAACCCCTCCTTTAAAAAAAATCTCAGAGGCCAGGCATGGTGGCTGAAGCCTGTAATCCCAGCACTTTCTGAGGCCGAGGCGGGTGGATAATGAGGTTGAGATGGAGACCATCCTGGTAACATGGTGAAACCCCGTGTCTACTAAAAATAGAAAAATTAGCTGGGCACGGTGGCGTGTGCCTGTAGTCCCAACTACTTGGGAGGCTGAGGCAGGAGAATTGTCTGAACTCAGGAGGTGGAGGTTCCGGTGAGCCGAGATCGCGCCATTGCACTCCAGCCTGGGTAATGAGAGAAACTCTGTCTCAAAAAGAAAAAAAGGTCTGAGAAAAAGTCATGGTTCCTTCCTTCCACTGGCTCCCTGGGTGGGTTCCCTGTTTTTGGTGTTAGATCTGCAGGCATTGATTGGGATCATCCCCCGGGGCTGCAGGGGGCTGCCAGGCACCCTCCTTGCCAGCATCACGGTGTCTGGATTCTCTCTCCCTTTACCAGGATGCCCCAGCCTGGCCGTCTGACCTCCCCTGACATGTCCTGTGGCTCCATGCGCCCGTTTTCAGTTTGACCCTCACTGGGGTACTGGGTGCAGCCCAAGGCCTCACACTCAGCAGAGGCCAAGTCAGGAAGACCCCATATCTGGGAGACGGGGCCTGGGGAGGGGATGGGAAGTGAAGCCAGCGTCCAGCTCTGGGGCACAAGGGCAGGGACACAGGTCTGGGCACAGAAGAGCCCAGGGTGGCCTCAGGCTGTCAGCATGACAACCTGCCAGGGCACAACCCCCACCGGATACGGGCAGCTCCTGTCACCTGCGGGTAGAAAGGTGCGCGTACGCAGCTTGTTTAGGGCTGTAAGGTGGCTTTGAAAGACACCACCAGCGCAGCCAGGCGCAGTGACTCACGCCTGTCAGCCCAGCACTTGAGAGGCCGAGGCAGGCAGATCGCCTGAGGTCAGAAGTTCAAGACCAGGCTGACCAACATGGTGAGATCCTGTCTCTACTAAAAAAAAAAAAAATTAGCTGGGCACAGTGACGCACGCCTGTAATCCCGGCTACTCAGGAGACTGAGGCAAGAAAATTGGACTGGGGAGACGGAGATTGCAGTGAGCCAAGATTGCCATTGCACCCCAGCCTGGGCAACAGAGGGCGATGCCAGCATCCAGGGTCCTGTGTACAACCCAGGGCTGGAGAGGACTGAAAGGCCGGGCCTGGCGTCTCACACACTCAGAAAGCAGCAAAACAAATATGCCTCTCAGAAGTGGCTGGTCGCGGTGGCTCACGCCTGTAATCCAAGCACTTTGGAGACCAAGGCGGTCAGATCACCCGAGGTTGTGAGTTCAAGACCAGCCCTGACCAACACGGTGAAACCCCGTCTTTAAAAAAAAAAAAAATACAGAAGGACTGGAAGACCTTGTTATAAAATGCTGGAGGCCGGGCACGGTGGCTCACATCAGTAATCCCAGCACTTGGACAGGCCGAGGGGGGCAAATCACCTGAGGCCGGGAGTTCGAGACCAGCCTGGCCAACATGGCAAAACCCCGTCTGTATCCAAAAATACAAAACTTAGCTGGGAGCAGTGGCTCATGCCTGTAAACCCAGCACTTCGGGAGGCCGAGGCGGGTGGATCACGAGGTTAGGTGTTCGAAACCAGCCTGGCCAACATAGTGAAAACCCGTCTCTACTAAAAATACAAAAAAAAAAAAAATAGCCGGAACTAGTGGTGGGCACCTGTAATCCCAGCTACTTGGGAGGCTGAGGCAGAACAATCACTTGAACCCAGGAGGCAGAGGTTGCAGTGAGCCAAGACCACACCACTGCACTCCAGCCTGGGCGACAGAGGGAGACTTCGTCTCCAAAAAACAAAATTTAGGCAAGTGTGTCGGTGCATTCCTGTAATCCCAGCTACTTGGGAGGCTGAGGCAGGAGATGCTTGAACCCGAGAGGCAGAGACTGCAGTGAGCCGAGATCGCACCAGTGCACTCCAGCCTGGACCACAGCCACACTCTGAATCAAAAACCAAGCACTTGAAACAGGCTCTCTGGTGTTGGAGGGATGTGGCTGAATCCGAGACAGGGACCAGTGAGTGGGTAAAAAACCAGTTTATTGTGAAATAAACACACACAGTTCTGTTCTTTCCTCTTCCCAGCAGCTTGGGACTGAACAGCAGGGGCCTCTCCTGTGTCCACCAAGGTCAGGAACGTGCGTCCAGCACCCAGTCTGTGCGGGCACCTGGACCGGCCAGGGAGAAGCAGGCAGCACTGACGGGCCCTGAGCCGGGTCTCAGGTTTTCTCCACGACCTGTATCTCCGTCACTGGGCACTCCTCCAGGCCGGCTCTGCCCACCTCCCAGACCACCTGCAGAGATGGGAGAGGTGGGGTTAAGCCATGTTGGCCAGGCGGGCATGGTGGCTCAAGCCTGTCATCCCAGCACTTTGGGAGGCCAAGGCAGCTGACCGCCTGAGGTCAGGAGTTCAAGACCAGCCTGGCCTACATGGCTTAACCCCACCTCTACTAAAAATACGGAAATTAGCCGGGTGTGGTGGCACATGCTTGTAATCCCAGCCACTCGGGGCTAAGGCAGGAGTATGGCTTGAACCTGGGAGGCGGAGGTTACAGTGAGCTGAGATCGCGCCATCGCACTCCAGCCTGGGCAACAGAGGAGGTGCTGTCTCAAAAAAATAAAATAAAATAAACGGTAAGGCCGGGTGAGTCGCACACCCACACAAGACAAGCAATGTCCCAATTCTCGGGGACTGTGTAGTCTCAAACCTGCTCTGCCCTGGGGTGCAGGGTGCTGTGACTGCCCGTGATCATGGTGGGCTGGGAGGCCAGCGTCCCCCGCTCCCTTCATTCTGCAGCTTCTCCCAGCCGCCCACCTATGCCGCTGGATAAGCATCCCGCCTCCCGTACCAGCTCTTCTCACTCCTTGTCCAGCGGAGTGGTCTTCATTCACTGCAGCCTCCACCTCCTGGGTTCAAGCAGTCCTCCTGCCTCAGCCTCCCAAGTAGCTGGGATCACAGGCCTGAGCCACCACGCCCAGCAATTTTGTTTTGTTTTTTGAGACAGAGTCTTGCTCTGTGGCCCAGGCTGGAGTGCAGTGGTGTGATCTCAGCTCACTGCAGCCTCCGCCTCCCGGGTTCAAGCAGTCCTCCTGCCTCAGCCTCCTGAGTAGCTGGGATTACAGGTGCCTGACACCACGCCCGGCTAATTTCTGTATTTTTAGTAGAGACGAGGTTTCACCATGTTGGCCAGGCTGGTCTCGAACTCCTGACCCCGTGATCCGCCCACCTCAGCCTTCCAAAGTGCTGGGATTACAGGCCTGAGCCACCGCGCCCAGCAATTTTGTTTTGGTTTTTGAGACAGAGTCTTGCTCTTTTGCCCAGACTGGATTGCAGTGGTGCGATCTCGGCTCACTGCAGCCTCCACCTCTTAGGTTCAAGTGATTCTCCTGTCTCAGCCTCCTGAGTAGCTGGGGTGACAGGTGCCCGCCACCATGCCTGGCAATTTTTCTATTTTTAGTAGAGATGGGGTTTTATTCACCACGTTGGCCAGGCTGGTCTCAACTCCCTGGCCTGAAGCCATCCGCCTGCCTCGGCCTCCCAAAGTGCCCGCCACGCCCCCAGCTCCCTCCCTTGGCACAAAACACATCATACCAGCTTGTCGTTTCGGAAGCCGTCACCCATGGGGTCTTTCATGTGAGGGATGCGGGGAAACAGTCTCTCCATCACAAGGTACCTGGGAGGGAAGAGAAACCGCCCAGCTCTGAATCCAGCACCGAACACCTCAACAGCCGGGGGGACTCAGCCTGTCCAGAACAGGCTGTAGGGGCACCAAGTTCAAGCAAAAGACTCAAGTCACCTGCTCAGGGGGCCTGTATGTTCCCCGGCCCCGAGGCCAAGACACCCCCAGCCACCATCACAGGCAGGTACTGGAGTGTAAGGAATAGGGTGCTGGTACCCCCCCTCCCACTAAGGCAGCTCTCACAACAGCCCCCTCCCTCAGATCACTGAGGTTGTGACCTTAGCCCGCAGCTGGCAGCAAGTGCCTCCCTCTCCTCCTCCTCCACCCTCTGGGAGACAGAAGTCACCTGAAACCCATTTCACAGATTTTTTTTTTTTTTTTTTTTAGAGACAGAGTCTCGCTCTGTCGTCCGGGCTGGAGTGCGGTGGTGTGACCTCAGCTCACAGCAACCTCCGCCTCGCGGGTTCAAGCAATTCTTCTGCCTCAGCCTCCTGAGTAGCTGGGATTACAGGCACCTGCTACCATCCCCGGCTAATTTCTGTATTTTTAGTAGAGACAGGGTTTCACGGTATTGGCCAGGCTGGTCTCAAACTCCCGACCTCAGGTGATCCTCCCGCCTCGGCCTCCCAAAGTGCTGGGATCACAGGCTTCAGCCACTACGTCCGGCCTTACGGATTTTTCTTCTTTTTGGAGATAAAGTCTCATTCTGTCACCAAGGCTGGAGTGCGGTGGCCTGATCTTGGCTCACTGCGACCTCCGCCTCCCGGGTTCGAGCCATTCTCCTGCCTCAGCCTCCCAAGTAGCTGGGATTACAGGCGCCCACACCACGACCAGCTAATTTTTTTTTTTTTCTGTATTTTTAATAAAGACAAGGTTTCTCCATGTTGGCCAGGCTGGTCTCGAACTCCCCACCTCAGGTGATCCGCCTGCCTCGGCCTCCCAAAGTGCTGGGATTACAGGCGTGAGCCTCTGCGCCCGGCCCCCATTTGACAGCCAGCAAGGAGGACACAGGACCTGGGGGGACCCAGCTGGTGATCGAAAACCTGGAGTTGGCCTGCAAGAGGGATGCTATTCCCCATCCAAATGGATAGTGTTGACCTTACCTGGGCCCACCAGAGCCCTCTGCTTCACTATGTCAGGCTCACAGGGCAGGGCCGGGGAGGACCAGCCCTGCCTCCTCCACCCTGGGGGCACCCCAGTCCTACCAGAGCCCTCCGCTTCAGCTCGGCAGACGTCCTGGCAGCGGACGGCTAGGGGACGAAAACTGGCCGGGGATCTTCTGTGAATAATTCTCAAGTGTCCAGGCCTGCCGGCTCAGGCCTGTAATCCCAGCAGTGTGGGAGGCCGAGGCAGGAGGATCAGTTGAGACCAGGGGTTCGAGACCATCCTCACCAAAATAGTGAAACCCCGTCTCTACTAAAAATATAAAAATTAGCCAGTTGTGGTGGTGGGTGCCTGTACTTCCAGCTACCTGGGAGGCTGAGGCAGGAGAATCGCTTGAACCTGGGAGGCAGAGGTTGTGGTGAGCCGAGGTCGCGCCGCTGCACTCCAGCCCGGGCGACAGAGAGACTCAAAAAATAAATATATAAATGAATAAAATAATAATAACACTGTCTAGGTGTGGCTCACGCAGGGACTCAGGTGGACGACTGCATGAGGTTATAAAACGTATAAATGGTGGCTCACGACTGTCACCCCAGCACTCTGGGAGGCAGAGGTTGGCGGATTACTTGAGGTGAGGAGTTGGAGACCAGCCTGGCCAATGTGGCGAAACCCCATCTCTACTAAAAATATGAAAATTAGCTGGGCGTGTTGGCAGACACCTGTAGTCCCAGATACTTGGGAGGCTGAGGCAGGAGAATCACTTGAACCCGGGAGGCGGAGGTTGCCGTGAGCTGAGATTGCGCCACTTCACTCCAGCCTAGTGACAGAGAGACTCAAAAAATAAATATATAAGTGAATAAAGTAATAATAGTGGCCAGGCGTGGTGTCTCACGCCTGTAATCCCAGCATGTTGGGAGGCTGAGGCTGGTGGATCACCTCCATCCAGGAGATCAAGACCAGCCCGGCCAACATGGTGAAACCCCGTCTCTACTAAAAATACAAAAATTAGCCGGGCGTGTTGGCAGACACCGTAGTCCCAGATACTTGGGAGGCTGAGGCAGGAGAATCACTTGAACCTGGGAGGCGGAGGTTGTGGTGAGCCAAGATTGCGCCACTGCACTGCAGCCTGGGCTACAAAGTGAGACTCCATCTCAAAAAAACAACAAAGTTATAAATGTCCCTGTGTCCTTTGTTCAGGGGTGCTCTTCTGCCAAGACTGCCCGCAAGGTGCACGCTTGCTGAGCGATCCACTGTCTCCGTGTGGCTTTTTTCTTTTTTAAAGATAGGGTTTCACCAAGATGACCAGGCTGGTCTTGAACTCCTGACCTCAGGTGATCCAAGCATCGCAGCCTCGCAAAGCGCTGGGATTACAGGCGTGAGCCACTGCACCTGGCCTTGATGTGGATTTTCACGACATTATCAACCTGTTCCCCATAAGGGCTCACCTTTTGCAGAGCAGGACAACACAGATCAAGGCCAGCAGCGTCCCCAGCGCGATGAGCAGTGACGTCCGCCAGGCTCGGGTGTGCGGGCCCTCCTCCTGATCGCACTCTAGGGGAAAACCATGACAGGGTCAGGGACCAGGGGCCGCCCTGGGGGGACCAGGTGCCGTATGCTCTCCCCTGGGCACTGGGAAGCAGAGACGCGGCGGCCAGACGGGGTGGCATCCAGCGGGAACCTCCTCCTGACACGTGCGTTTCTCTTCACCACACAGATGACTGTCCACTGGTTCCAGGGACCTAGACTGAGCACTTACACCCCGGAAGTGACAGCCGCAGGGTACAGCCCCTCAGGGTCTACGGGTGTCATTTTGCATGGAGACATAGATGGAAGGAAAGACAGACAGAAGACACAGAGATAAGACAACAGTCCAGCTGGGCCCTGGGGACCAGTACTACCAAGGTGCACAGTCCAGTAGTGGCCCCGAATGCCTGGGTGTTCTGATATTTACTGGATACAGCGAGGGGCGCAGGGTCAGCAGAGTGAACCTCTGACCTGATTCACGGGGTCCAGCAAATCACGTGATTCCACTACAGGCCCACGTCAGCATCCTTCTACGTACTTAGCACAAACATCAAAGGCCTTTAGGATTCGTCTGTTTTTTATTTTTATATATTTTTTTGACACGGAGTCTCGCTCTGACGCCCAGGCTGGAGTGCAGTGGCGCGATCTTGGCTCACTGCAACCTCCACCTCCCAGGTTCAAGCGATTCTCCTGCCTCAGTCTCCTGAGTAGCTGGGACTACAGGCGCCTGCCACCAAGCCTGGCTAATTTTTGCTTTTTTTTTTTTTTTTTTTGAGATGAACTTTCACTCTTGTTATCCAGGCTGGAGTGTAATGGCGCGATCTCGGCTCACCGCAACCTCCGCCTCCTGGGTTCAGGCAATTCTCCTGCCTCAGCATCCCGAGTAGCTGGGACTACAGGTGCGCGCCACCATGCCCAGCTAGTTTTTTTGTATTTTTAGTAGAGATGGGCTGTCACCATGTTGACCAGGATGGTCTCGATCTCTTGACCTTGTGATCCACCCACCTCGGCCTCCCAAAGTGCTGGGATTATAGGAGTGAGCCACCGCGCCCGGCCATGTGAGGGTTTCTAAATATATTTGGTATCACTGCCAACACTGAGTAATCAGCTATTTATTATACTGAGACACCTACTGCCTTCAGTGTCCTGGGCACCTGGGCAGCGGTCTGTAACCACCGACAGCTACACGGGGACCCTGATCACCTGCAGGCACCTGCGGACCAGCACCCGAGTGACACCCGGACCTCCCAGCCCCAGCCTGGAGGCCAGACGGAGCTGAAAGGCCACCAGGACTCTGCCTCCCTATCTCACAGGTGCTCGGTACGGGGGAGTGCTGGGGACTTCCACTACGCTTGGCAGACTGGCAGGGGTTTTGGGTGCAGGGGGCATGGAGGGCGAGAAGCAGAGGCCGCGTTGGCGAGGAACCGCTGCTGCCCACAGAGGGATGAGGGCTTTCAATTTGATTTAGTCTTTATCATGGACCACGCCATTGCTCATAATTAAATAATAATTAAAAATAATTATTATTTTTAATAATATAGTACTACATTATATATTTAATAACAAAAAATTTAAAATTATATATAACAATGTTATAACAGAATATATTATTATATTAATACATTAATATTTAACATAATATAATATATTGTCTAATAAATCACATATTTTATTATATTAGATATATTAATAATTATACATATATCATATATAATTATATATCTTATCATATAAGGTAAGATAAATAATTGCTGTTTAATATATTATATGCATTATTATGTAATAAATAATATGTCCGTGTGTGTGCATTAAGCTTTTTTTTTTTTTTTGAGATGGAGTCTCACTCTATCACCTAGGCTGGAGTGCAATGGCGCGATCTCGGCTCACTGCAACCTCTGCCTCCCGGGTTTAAGCAATTCTCCTGCCTCAGCCTCCCAAGTGGCTGGGATCACAGGCATCCACCACTATACCTGGCTAATTTCTGTATTTTTAGTAGAGACGGGGTTTCACCATGTTGGTCAGGCTGGTCTTGAACTTCTGACCTCAGGTGATCCACCCGCCTCGGCCTCACAAAGTGCTGCAATGACAGTCATGAACCACCGCGCCCAGGCAGCCGCTCTTACTCTGGAGGCAATCCTCCTCTGAATCTGGGTGCAGAGCCCTTAGGCACGGCCGGTCTGAATAGAAGGTAGCACCCCCTTGCCCTCCGACAGCGCTTGCATCACAAGGCCCACGTGCTGTCTGTAAACTTCCCCTGGTTTCCCCTGCATGTCTCCTCTCCTGAGTGACAGCAAGACTCAAAAAATAATGATTATTATATATGATATAATAATAATTATTATTTTAATAATATATATTATTAAATTATAGATTAATAACATACAATTTTAATGATTATATAATATAATAAAGTGTTATAATGATATAGAATATAATATTATATTATGTTGATTTATATCTTTAATAAACTTTTCACATATATACAAAAAATAAGAATATATAATAATGTATTGTATAATAATATATGATTTATTATATATTAAATATCATTATATATTAAATTTTTTTTTGAGGCAGAGTCTTACTCTGTCACCTGGGCTGGATTAAGACTCAGTGAGATCAAGACTAAAAATATATATATAATTATTAAATTAAATAATTAAATAATTATATATCTATAATAACACTATATCTTATAATGTATAATATATAATAATATATCACATAATAGACAATATGTCATAATATATATATAATATATGATATATAACATTATATATAATTATGCCATAATTGTATATTATATAATATACATTAAATATTATAATATCTATTATTATATCATATACATTATATGTTATAATGTATATTATTATATAATAACTATTATTAGGGTCAGGTTCAGGGTCCAAGAAACAATGAAAACCTGGCGACCCCCAGACGGTGGGGGCGCTGGGGCAGGTGACCCAGGTGGGCGCATGCAGCTTCCACTCACCTGTGAGGGAGACGGGAGAGGCGCCCCACAAACCCCACTCACTCCACTCACCGAAGCGCTGGGGGCTGCTCCAGGCAGTCCAGAATTGATCGTAGATCTCCTGGGCTCTTATTTTCACTGTGTATGTTCCAGGATTGAGCAGCTGGAATGAGGTCATGCCTTTGACCTGTGGTTTAAAAGAAAGTAAACAACTCGCCCTTTGCAATGTCAAGTACAAGGGATGGGGGGGTCAGGAACCCTCACCTGTTCTGTGATTACAGGCTGCTTGCTCTGCAAGACAAAAGCAAACATTTCAGTGTCTGGACCCTCCCTGACACCCTCCTCCCCGCAAACTCATATTTCTCCCTCCAGGAAAACCAGCAAAACAGGGGGGCTCTGGGAAGGCCTTGGGTGAGCAGTTGGGGCAAAACAATGAGCTTAGGCATAAATAGCATGTGACCAGAAGTTTTCCTATGGGCCGCTGTGGCAAGAACTTGGTGGGAGGGGGCTTTGTGGGGCCTGTGGACAAACAAGACCCAGTGTCCTCCCAGATTCCTTCCACATACATCCAGGGGGAGCCACACGCAGCCTATATCAGGCCAGCAAACTAGGTGGGTGCAGCACCAGATGTAAAGCCAGGCTATGACTCCACCTCTGACTGCAGCTATGCCTACTCCCTCAAATCAGCAAAAGAAAGAAGCTGGTGTGCTGTACTAACTTATTTTTAAAAAAACCCAAACACATTGGCTCAAAAATACTTAGTAACATAAAAGAAATTAATGGACCTAACTTTTTTGAGCAGATTTAGATTTACAGATAAAATGCATATGAAATAATTAGTATTTGAGGATAAATAACAAATATAACACATAGGCCAGGCCTGGTGGCTCACGCCTGTAATCCCAGCCCTTTGGGAGGCTGAGGCAGGTGGATCACAAGGTCAAGAGTTTGTATTTTTAGTAGAGATTGAAACCCTGTCTCTACTAAAAATACAAATATTAGAAGGGCCTGGTGGCACACACCTGAATTCCCAGCTACTTGGAAGACTGAGACAGGAGAATTTCTTGAACTCGGAAAGTGTAGGTTGCAGTAAGCTGAGACCACAGCATTGCACTCCAGCTTGGGTGACAGAGTCAGACTCTGTCTCAAAAAAAAAAAAAAAAAATACCTATTATGTTTATTTTAGTTTTTGAGACAGGGTCTTGCTCTGTTGACCAAACTGGAGGGCTGTGGTGCAAGCTCAGCTCACTTCAGCCTTGAACCCCTGGGATCAAACGATCCTCCCATCTCAGCCTCCTGAGCAGCTAAGACTACAGGCACCCACCACCATGCTTGGCTAATTTTTGAATTAAAAAAACATTTTGTTTTTTTTTGAGACAGAGTCTCACACTGTTGCCCAGGCTGGTGTGCAATGGTTCAATCTCGGCTCACTGCAACCTCCATCTCCCAGGTTTACGCAATTGTCCTGCCTCAGCCTCCCGAGTAGTAGGGATTACAGGCGCATACCACCACGCCCGGCTAATTTTTTGTATTTTTAGTTGAGACAGGGTTTCATTATGTTGGTCAGGCTGGTCTTGAACTCCTGACCTTGTGATCCACCCACCTTGGCCTCCCAAAGTGCTGGAATTACAGGTGTGAGCCACTGCACCCACCTTAATTTTTAATTTTTGTTTGTTTGTTTGAGATGGAGTCTCACTCTGTCACCAGACTGGAGTGCACAATCTCGACTCACTGAAACCTCTACCTCCCAGGTTTAATCGATTCTCGTGCCTTAGTCCCCTGAGTAGCTGGGATTTCAGGCGCCTGCCACCATGCCCAGCTAATTTTGTATTTTTAGTTGAGACAGGGTTTCATTATGTTGGTCAGGCTGGACTTGAACTCCTGACCTCGTGATCCGCCCGCCCTGGTCTCCCAAAGTGCTGGCATGACAAGCAGGCATGGACCACTGTATCTGGCCTGCATTTTTATTTGTAGTGTTTTATTTATTTATTTATTTATTTTTTAGAGACAGGTTTCACCATATTGGTCAGGCTGGTCTTGAACTCCTGCCCTCAGGTGATCCAGCTACCTCGGCCGCCCAAAGTGCTGGGGTTACAGGCCTGACCACCACGCCCGGCCTCACACTTTCTTTTTTAAATGATGTATACCTCTGTGGCACTCTCCGAGGAGCTTTTCGCCCATTCCCACGCCCCAGAGTGTGACTTACCAGAAATAAGGGAGGTCCACGCGGGGTGAGAGTTTACCTTTTGTATCTGAAGCTCATAGTGAAAATTGGGATTAAAATGACTTCTCATTTCCCAGTCCATGAAAGAATGTGTTTTATTACACTTTGCAGTCAAGTTGGGTGGAGTTAGTATCTCTGGCAATGGGAAAAGACACTTTTATGAGTAAAAGAAATAAATTTTTTTTTTTTTGAGACAGAATCTCGCCCTGTTGCCCAGGCTGGAGTGCAATGGCACTATCTCAGCTCACTGCAACCTCCGCCTCCGGGGTTCAAGCGATTCTCCTGCCTCAGCCTCCCGAGTAGCTGGGATTACAGGTGCCCACCACCATGCCCAGACCATTTTTTTTGTATCTTTTTATTTATTTATTTTTATTATACTTTAAGTTCTGGGGTCCATGTGCAGAGCATGCAGGTTTGTTACACAGGTAGACACATGCCGTGTGGTGGTTTGCGGCATCCATCACCCCGTCATCTGCATTAGATATGTCACTTAATGTTTTCCCTCCCCCAATCCCCCCACTCCCTGCTATCCCTCCCCCAGCCCCCCACCCCCTGCTATCCCTCCCCTAGTCCCCTACCCCCTGCTCTCCCTCCCCTGGCCCCCACCCCCTGCTATCCCTCCCCTAACCCCCCCATCGCCTGCTCTCCCTCCCCAGCCCCCAACAGGCCCCAGTGTGTGATGCTCCCCTCCCTGTGTCCGTGTGTTCTCATTGTTCAACACCCACTTATGAGTGAGAACATGCGGTGTTTGGTTTTCTGTTCTTGTGTCAGTTTGCTGAGAATGCTGGTTATTATTTTTTGTATTTTTAGTAGAGACGGGGTTTCATCACATTGGCCAGGCTGGTCTCGAACTCCTGACCTCATGATCCGCCCGCCTTGGCTTCCCAAAGTGCTGGGATTACAGGGGTGAGCCACCACATCCGGGGCCCCCTGCTTTTTCTTTTCTTTTCTGTAGATACTTCAGTGTAGATCTCGTAGGCATTTGCCAAGGGACAGAGAAAAACTGCCCTTCCAGGGAGGAAGAGTAAAGAAAGAATCTCTGAGGCTGAGACTCAGGGCTGAGATGTGTTGGGGCCCAGGGAGAAGTGAGCCTTGGGGCTGGCTGTTTGCAGCCTGGCTGTCCCGGCAGCCGCCTTTACAACCACCCTTTTGTTCCCTGAGGTACCATTGACCCAGCTTTCCCGGGCAGCTACAAGTCTCTCTCCCTGCCCCCTCCGTCTGTCTGCTGAGCCCTCTGGGCGGCCTGGCTCACTGCCCACCTGTGCCCAGGGCCTGCCCCACACCCACAGCCCACTGGTGACTTGGGGTTCCCTCTGCATCACTGAAGATGGGCCCCCTAAGACTCCCACTCTCCGACCTGCACCCAGCCTGCTGGAGCTTCCACCTCCCCCCTCTGCCTGGCTTCTCACCCTCCCCTAACCCCCTCAGGATGGCCTGTCTCTCCCTACGGCCCACGGTGGCCTCCACCTCCCGGGGACCGTGTGCTGTTACTTCCACATTCTCAGATCTGACCCGACCAGCAGCCCAGTCCTGAGTTTCCGGCCGTCTGTCTGCAGGTCCCCTGGGCCCCAGAAAGGAAGTCCAGGCTGCCCAGGGGGCTGAGCAGAGAAACGGACGGGGCAGGGAGAGAGACTTGGAAAGCTGGGTCAATGGTACCTGAGGGAACAAAAGGGTGGTTGAGAGGGAGGAGGGGGACACGGAGGAGAGGGAGGATTAGGGCGGAAGACGGGGAGAAGGGGAGGGGGAGAAGGCAGTGGGGAAAGAGGAGGGGGAGAAGGAGTAGAGGGGAAGAAGGAGGGGGGAGGAGGATGGGGAAGGAGGAGGGGGAGAAGGAGGAGGGGGGAAGAAGGATGGGGAAGGAGGAGGGAGAAGCAGGACAGGGGAAGGAGGAGGGGGAAGGTGGAGGGGGACCAGGTCTGGACTTCCTTTCTGGGGCCCAGGGGACCTGCAGACAGACGGCTGGAAACTCAGGACTGGGTGGTCGGGTCAGATCTGAGAATGTGGAAGTAACAGCCCACGATCCCCGGGAGGTGGAGGCTGCCCTGGGCCGCAGGGAGCGACAGGCCATCCTGAGGGGCTTAGGGGAAGGTGAGAAGCCAGGCAGAGGCGGGAGGTGGAAGCTCCAGCAGGCTGGGTGCAGGTCGGAGAGTGGGAGTCTCAGGGGGCCCATCCTCAGTGACGCAGGGGGAACCCATGATGGGGGTCTCATGACCCATAATGGAACTCATGATGGGGGGTGTCCCATGACCCATAATGGAACCCATGATGGGGGGTGTCCCATGACCCATAATGGAACCCATGATGGGGGGTGTCCCATGTTGGCATCAGTGCCCTTGTAAGGAGACACCAGAACTTCCTGTATGTCTCTGTCTCCACATGGAAAACACCATGAGAAGACAACCCTGTACCAGCCAGGAAGAGACCTCCCCAGGGGCCGGCCCGCCCAGCCCCTGCCCTCCAACGCCCAGCCTCTGGAAATGGGAGTGACCAGCATGTATGTTGGGGGCCAGCTGGACCGTGGGAGCTGGCGTGAGGCTGTGAGCAGCCTGGGGGGCCTGGGCCACTCACCGATCTCTGAAAACACGACATGCTGGTCTACGCAGGGGACACGGAAGGCTTCGCTCGAGCCCCTCACCAGGATGAAGGCTGTTGGAGACCCGCTGGAGATGGCAGAGACGTCACTGAAGACGCAGCCAATGTGAGTTCCTCGCTCATTCGTGTTGTAGTGGACACAGGGGTGCTGCTCCTGGCTCCTGCGGGAAACACACCAAGTTGGGGGACGAGCCAGGGCTGACGACCCCCTGCGCCGGGTACACCTTGGCCTGCCCAGCTCTTCCTCCTCCTCCTCCTCCTTTCTCCTTCACCCTCTCCTCCTCCTTCTTTCTTCCTTGTCTTCCTCCTCTTCCTCCTCCGTTCCCCATCTTTACCTCCTCCCCGTCTTTTTCTCCATTTTCTTCTCCCCCTCGTCCTCCATCCTCCCCTCCTCCCTTGTCCTATCCTCCCTCTTCCAACTCATCCATCCTCCCTCTCCTCCTCCTCCCCGTCCTCCTCCCCCCTCCTTCTCTTCCTGCCCCTCCTCCTCCTCTCCTTTCTCCTCCTCCTCCCCCCTCCTCCATACTCCCCTCCTCCCTTCTTCTGTGTTCCCTCTTCCGGCTCATCCATCCACCCTCTCCTCCTCCTCCCCATCCTCCTCCCCCTCCTTCTCTTCTTCTCCCTCCTCCTCCTCTCCTTTCTCCTCCTCCTCCTTCCTCCCCCTCCCACAGCCCTCCTCCATCCACCCTCTTCCCTTGTCCTGTCCTCCCTTTTCTGGCTCGTCCATCCTCCCTCTCCTCCTCCTCCCTGTCCTCCTCCCCCTCCTTCTCTTCCTGCCCCTCCTCCTTCCTCCCCCTCCCACACCGCTCCTCCATCCGCCCTCCTCCCTTCTTCTGTCTTCCCTCTTCTCGCTCGTCCATCCTCTCTCTCCTCCTCCTCCCTGTCCTCCTCCCCTTTCTCTTCCTCCTTCCTCCTCCTCTCCTTTCTCCTCCTCCTCCCCCTCCTCCTCCCCCTCCTCCTCATTCCTCCTCCCCATTCCCTTCCTCCTTCCTCCTCTCCTTTCTTCTCTTCCCTCTCTCCTTCTCCTTTCTCCTTCAGCCTGTCCTCCTCCTCCTCCTCCTCCTTCCTTCCTCTTCTTCCTTCTGTTTCTCCTCCCCTCCCCATCTTCACCTCCTCTCCTTCTTTTTCTCCATTTTCTTTCTTTTTTTTTTTTAATAAAAAAACTAAGATGGGATTTCATCAGGATGGCCAGGCTGGTCTTGAACTCCTGACCTCAGGTGATCCTCCCACCTCGACCTCCCAAAGTGCTGTGATTAGAGGCGTGAGCCAGCGCTTTTTCTCCATTTTCTTCTTCCCCTCGTTCCCTCCCCTTCTCCCCCATGTCCCCCTCCTGCCCCCTCTGCTCAGGTTCTTCCTCTCATCCTCCCTTCCATCCTCCCCACCCATCCTCCTCTGCCTTCTCCCCGTCTCCTCCTCGGAAGCCCAAGGCCAAACCTACTCGGGATGGTTGACCGACAGGTGGTACTGGGTGTCGCCGGGGGCCTCCGGACCCACGGCCCAGCTGCAGCTCATGAGGTCCACCTCGTGAACCCAGCAGGTCAGGTTTTGCGCGGCTGCCTGCGAATTCCCACCTGCGTTCGCAAACCAGAAAGAAAACAGGAGTCGTGGCCGCCCGAGGTGGCTCCTGCCTGTAATCCCAGCGCATCAGGAGGCCGAGGCGGGCGGATCACCTGAGGTCGGGAGTTCGAGACCAGCCTGGCCAGCATGGAGAAAGCCCGTCTCGACCAAAAACATAAAATATTAGCCAGCGTTGATGGCGGGCGCCTGTAGTCCCAGCTACTCGGGAGGCTGAGGCGGGAGAATCACTTGAACCCGGGAGGCAGAGGCTGCTGTGAGCTGAGGTCACACCACTGCACTCCAGCCTGGGTGACCGTGAGACTTGGTCTCAAAACAAAACAGACTGGGCTCCGTGGCTCCCGCCTGTAATCCTAGCACTTTGGGAGGCCGAGGCAGGTGGATCACGAGGTTAGGAGTTCAAGACCAGCCTGGCCAACATGGTAAAACCCCGTCTCTACTAAAAATACAAAAATTAGCTGGGCATGGTGGCGCGTGCCTGTAATCCCAGCTACTCGGGAGGCTGAGGCAGGAGAATCGCTTGAACCCAGGAGGCGGAGGTTGCAGTGAGCCGAGATCGCACCATTGCACTCCAGCCTGGGAAACAAGAGCACAACTCTGTCTTAATAATAATAATAATAATAATTAAGTGGGCATGGTGGCACGTGCCTGTGGTCCCACCTTCATGGGAAGCTGATGCAAAAGGATCGTTTAACCCCAAGGGGTCAAGCCGGCACTGAGCTGTGATTGTGCGGCTGCAGTCCAGCCTGGGCGACAGACGGAGACCTTGTCTTTAAACAAAGAAACAGAGAAAGAGGGAAAAAAGAGAGAGAGAGAGAGAGACAGAGAGAGAAAGGAAAGAAAGGAGGAAGGAAGGGAGGCAAGGAGGCGGGGAGAGAGGCAGGAAGGAAGGAAGGGAAGGGAGAGAAGGAGGGAAGGGATGGAGGGCAGGGAGGAGGGAAAAGGGGAGGGAGGAAGGAAAGAGGGACAGAAGGAAGGAGAAAGAAGAAATAAACCCTGTGCATTTTCCCTCACCGTCCTCCGGGAACAGGATCGAGGCTGAGAACGGCGGGCTGGCCACCACGACGGTGTAGTTGGTCACCTCACATAGGGAAATGGCTGCAAACTGGCAGTAGCGATTATTCATTGCCTGAAAACCACATAGGATTAGACGGTTGCTGACAGACGAGGCTTAATTGGATGCTAAGGTCTTTAGTTTGTTTTTTAGGCAGTCTCGCTCTTGTTGCCCAGGCTGGAGTGCGGCGGTGCGATGTCCGTTCACCGCAACCTCCGCCTCCCAGGTTCAAGCGATTCTCCGGAATAACTGATATTACAGGCACCTGCCGCCACGCCTGGCTAATCTTTAAAATAGTTTTTGGTAGAGGCTGGGTTTTATCACATTTGCCAGGCTTGTCTCGAACTCCTGGCCTCAGGTGATCCACCTGCCTCCGCCTCACAAAGTGCTGGGATGATAGGCGTGAGCCAGCACACCAGACTAATTTCTGTATTTTTAGTGGAGACGCGGTTTCACCATCTCGGCCGGGCCGAGTCTTGAACTCCTGGCCTCGTGATCCAGCTGCTGAAGTGCTGGGGTTACAGGCGTGAGCCACGGTGCATGGCCTGATTCTTTGTTTTTGGGTGAGATGGGGTCTCACTGTGCTGGGTCAGGAAGGAAGGAAGGAAGGAAGGAAGGAAGGAAGGAGGGAGGGAGGGAGGGAGGGAGGGAGGGAGGGAGGAAGGAAAGAAGGAAGGGAGGGAGGAAACGGAGCAGGTCAAAACTCCCGTGCTGAGCAGTACTGGGATCATGTCTGTTAATAGCCACTGCACTCCAGCCGGGACAACATAGCGAGACCCCCATCTCAAAAAAAAAAAAAAAAAAAAAAAGAGAGAGAGAGAATACAATTCACCTCAGGCTGGGTGCGGTGGCTCACGCCTGTAATCCCAGTACTTTGGGAGGCCGAGGCGGGTGGGTCACGAGGTCAACAGATCGAGACCATCCTGGTCTACATGGTGAAACCTCGTCTCTACTAAATATACAAAAAAACTAGCTGGGCATGGTGGCACGTGCCTGTAATCCCAGCTACTCGGGAGGCTGAGGCAGGAGAATTGCCTGAACCCAGGAGGCGGAGGTTGCGGTGAGCCGAGATCGCGCCATTGCACTCCAGCCTGGGTAACAAGAGCGAAACTCCATCTCCAAAAAAAAAAAAAAAAAAAAAGAAAAGAAAAAACAAGAAATACCTGTCTCTCAAACGTCAGACATTGCACTAAATGAAATTGCTAAGTGTAGTAAAAAACCCAAAAATAAAGTTGGTAGAAAACTTAAAAGAATACAATTCACCTCTATTTCATAGTCTGCACCTTTCACGCACTGGATACCGGTAACATTCCCATCGACGTCCCAGGTCAACATCTGAGTCTTGGGTTCCATCCTTAAGTTCTTGATGGGTGGATTTGAAACTAAAAGGTTTTCAGTTACAAGAGATACACAATCCACAGGAATATGAAAGCAGCACTGTATGCAGGGCGGTGGCTCAGGCCTGGAATCCCAGAACTTTGGGAGGCCGAAATGGGCAGATCACCACGTCAGGAGTTCAAGACCAGCCTGGCCAACACGGTGAGACCCAGTGTCTACTAAAAATACAAAAATTAGCCGGGCGTGGTAGCAGGTACCTGTAATCTCAGCTACTAGAGATGCTGAGGCAGGAGAATCCCTTGAACCCGGGTGGTGGAAGTTGCAGTGAGCTCAGACTGTGCCACTGCACCTCAGCCTGGGCGACAGAATAAGACTCCTTCTCAAAAACAAAACAAAATAGCCAGGCGCGGTGGCTCAAGCCTGTAATCCCAGCACTTTGGGAGGCCAAGGCTGGTGGATCACGAGGTCAAGAGATCGAGACCATCCCGGTCAATATGGTGAAATCCCATCTCTACTAAAAATATAAAAATTAGCTGGGCATGGTGGCGCGTGCCTGTAATCCCAGCTACTCGGGAGACTGAGGCAGGAGAATTGTCTGAACCCAGGAGGCGGAGGTTGCGGTGAGCCGAGATCGCGCCATTGCACTCCAGCCTGGGTAACAAGAGCGAAACTCCATCTCAAAAAACAAAACAAAACACAACAAAAAAGCATTGTAATGGGTACTTTCTTTTTGCCCGTGCAGTTACCCAGTACCTGATGAGCCAGTGTGCCCGGCCAGAGAATGTAGTTTTCAGTAAGAGGCACGACTATCCTTCTGTGGCATTCATTTCCTTACGGAGCTCACAGACTGAGCAATTCTGGTATTGCTGGAAAATCAGCAAACGTACATTCAAATACACAGTGCAGTGTAATGAAATATGAACTTATTAACGCCACAGTGTCACAGGAGAAGGAGGTTTTTCTCTCTCTCATTTTTCATTTTTTTTTTTTTTGAGACGGAGTTTTGCTCTTGTTACCCAGGCTGGAGTGCAATGGCGCGATCTCAGCTCACCGCAACCTCCGCCCCCTGGGTTCAGGCAATTCTCCTGCCTCAGCCTCCCGAGTAGCTGGGATTACAGGCACGCGCCACCGTGCCCAGCGGATTTTTTTGTATTTTTAGTAGAGACGGGGCTTCACCATGTTGACCAGGATGGTTTTGATCTCTTGACCTCGTGATCCACCCGCCTCAGCCTCCCAAAGTGCTGGGATTACAGGCCTCAGCCACCGCGCCCAGCCTCATTTTTCTTTCTGAGACGGAGTCTTGCTCTGTACCCCAGGCTGGAGTGCAGTGCCGCGATCTCAGCTCACTGCAACCTCCGCCTCCCGGGTTCAAGTGATTCTCCTGCCTCAGCCGCCTGAGTGCCTGAGACTACAGGCACCTGCCACCACACCTGGCCAATTTTTGTATTTTTAGTAGCGATGGGGTTTCACCATGTTGTCCAGGCCAGTCTCGAACGCCTGACCTCATGATCCGTCCACCTCGGCCTCCCAAAGTGCTGGGATTACAGGCATGAGCCACCACGCCTGGCCGAAGGAGGTCTCTTTCAGCCATCACAGTGCTCATTATATTTCATAAATGACTCATAGAAAGATGGAAAAGGCAATATTCTTTTACACTTGTCTAGTCACCCAAAGCTAGAAACATCAGATACTTCTCAAGGGTTTATCTCTCATCGACCACTTAGACAACTCGGAGGAAATGACTGTTTATAAACTCTAAGAATCATGAGTAGTTATCAAGGTCAACAACCTTCGTTTGATAAGCAAGATTAAAGCATAAAAACATCTACATTTCTATCATGATCTTCTAACTTAGAAGGATAATTGATTCCTTAAAACACACTCTCAGCACCGCACAGCGGCTCATGCCTGCAATCCCAGCACTTTGGGAAGCCAAGGCGGGTGGATCATGAGGTCACGAGTTCAAGAGCAGCCTGACCAAGATGGTGAAACCCCGTCTCTACTAAAAATACAAAAATTAACTGGGTGTGGTGGCAGGTGCCTGTAATCCCAGCTACTCGGGAGGCTGAGGCAGGAGAATCACTTGAACCCGGGAGGTGGAGGTTATGGTGAGCTGAGATTGCGCCACTGCACTCCAGCCTGGGTGACAGAGTGAGACTTCATCTCAAGATCTCAAGAGAGAAAGAAACAGGGAAAGAGGGAAGGAGGGAAAGAGAAAGAACGAAAGAAAGGAAGGAAGGAAGGAAGGAAGGAAGGAAGGAAGGAAGGAAGGAAGGAAGGAAGGAAGGAAAAGAAAGAAAGAGAGAGAGAAAGAAAGAAAGAAAGAAAGAAAGAAAGAAAGAAAGAAAGAAAGAAAGAAGGAAAGAAAGAAGGAAAGAAAGAAAGAAGAAAGAGTCCGGGCATGGTGGGTCACACCTGTAATCCAAGCACTTTGGAGGCCAAGGTGGCTTGACCCCCGAGGTCGGGTATTCAAACCAGCCTGACCAACATGGTGAAACCCCGCCTTAAAAATAAATAAATAAATAAATAGATAGATAAATAAATAAAGAAGGGAGTGGGAGAGAGGAAGAAAGGAAGAAAAAGAAAGAAGGAAGGAAGGAAATAAAGAAATAAATATGGGAAGGAGAGAGGGAGGGAGAAAGGAAGGAAAGAAAGAAGGAAAGAGAAAGAAAGAGAGAAAGAAAGAAGACATACAATGCAGGAAATGGGAAACAGTAATCAGTGCTATTGACCCCAGCTCCTGGTTTCATCCACACACCTCACATGGCGTCTGTGTCATGATCAGACCCTGCCTGTGACTTTTTTCTTTTTTTTTTTTTCATAGAGACAGGGTTTCACCACTTTGGCCAGGCTGGTCTCGGTGTCTTGACCTCGTGATCTGCCCACCTCGGCCTCCCAAAGGGCTGGAATTACACGCGTGAGGCACCGTGCCTGGCTTTTTTTTTTCTTGAGATGGAGTCTTCCTCTGTCACCCAGGCTGGAGTGCAGTGGCACGATCTCACATCACTGCAACGTCCGTCCCATCTCCCCGGGTTCAAGCAATTATGCCTCAGTCTCCTGAGCAGCTGGGATTACAGGAGGCCACCACCGCGACCAGCTAATTTTGGTATTTTTAGTAGAGATGGGGTTTCACCATGTTGGTTAGGCTGGTCTTGAACTCCTGACCTTGTGATCTGCCCACCTCGGCCTCCCAAAGTGCTGGGGTGACGGGTGGGAACCAGCACGCCCAGCCATTTCTTTCTTTCTTTCTTTGTCTTCCTTCCTTCCTTCCTTCCTTCCTTCCTTTCTTTCTTTCTTTCTTTCTTTCTTTCTTTCTTTCTTTCTCTCTCTCTCTTTCTTTCTTTTCTTTTCTTTTCTTTCTTGCTGCTTTTCTTAAAGAAGGAGTCTTGCTCTGTCGCCCAGGCTGCAGTGCAGTGGTTAGATCTCAGCTCACTGCAACCTCCGCCTCCCGGGTTCAAGCAATTCTCCTGACAGCCTCCCAAGTAGCTGGGACTACAGGCATATGCCACCATGCCCGGCTTATTTTTCTATTTTTTTTAAATTTTTTTAAAAATTTTTAAAAATTATTTATTTATTTATTTATTTTGAGAAGCAGTTTCACTCTCGTTACCCAGGCTGGAGTGCAATGGCGCGATCTGGGCTCACCACAACCTCCGCCTCCTGGGTTCAGGCAATTCTCCTGCCTCAGCCTCCTGAGTAGCTGGGATTACAGGCACACGCCACCATGCCCAGCTAATTTTTTGTATTTTTTTTTAGTAGCGACGTGGTTTCACCATGTAGACCAGGATGGTCTCGATCTCTTGACCTCGTGATCCACCCGCCTCGGCCTCCCAAAGTGCTGGGATTACAGGCTTGAGCCACCGCGCCCGGCCTATTTTTCTATTTTTAGTAGAGAGGGGGTTTCACCATGTAGACCAGGATGGTCTCGATCTCTTGACCTCGTGATCCACCCGCCTCAGCCTCCCAAAGTGCTGGGATGACAGAGGTGAGCCACCGCGCCTGTCCAGAATGTGTGTGTGTTTTTTTTCTCCAGCTCTTACTTTGGTTCGTTTGCAGGAGGCAGGGCACGGGCATCAGCAGCAGCGTGAGCCGTAGGAGGACCATGTGGAACGCGGCTCTCTCAGGACACAGGTGCCTGCCGGGGGACAAGGCGGAGTCAGGCAGCGGGGAGTGGCTGTGGGACGGGGCTGCGGGTGGTGAAGGGCGCTGGACCCCTCCGGAGCCTGGTGCTCACAGCACAAGATGCTGCTTCTGGAGAGAGGGCTGCTGTGAGTGTGAGTGTGTGTATGCGTGTGTGTGTGCAGGGTGTGTGTGTGTCAGTGTCTGTGAGTCTGGGACCCTGTGTCTGTGTGTTGAATGTGTGTGTGACAGTGAGTGTGTTGGAGTGTGTGAGCATCTGCGTGTGTGTGTCAGTGTGTATGAGTGTGTGTGAATGTGTGTGTGTTCAGTGTGTGTTGTGTGTGTCTGTGTGTGTGAATGTGTGTTTAGTGTGGGAGTGTGTGTGTGTGAATGTGAGCATGTGTCTGTGAATGTATTTGTTGAGAGTGTGTTGAGTGTGTGCGTGTGAGTGTGTGTGTCTGTGTGTGAATGTGTGTATTTCTTGTGTTCAGTGTGTGTGTGTGACTGTGTCTGTGTGAATGTGTGTTTGTTGAGTGTGTGCATGTGTGAATGTGTGTGTATGACTGTGAATGTGTTTCTTGAGTGTGTGTGTGTTGGGTGTGAGTGTGTGTGACTATGTGTCTGAGTGAATGTGTGTGGGTGTTCAGTGTGTGTGAATGTGTGTGCATGCGTGTGCACGAATATCCGTGTATGTGTACTATATGTGTGCATACCTGTGTGTAGAAATGCATGTTTGCATGTTTGCACCTGACTGCGTGTATGTGCACACACGTGCACGGTGCACATGTGTCTATCAGCAGGTGCATACGTGCTTGTACCTGTGGTGTGTACATTTGTGTGCCTGTGCTTAGCTGTGTGCATACATATGAGTTTGTGTGTTTTCTTTTTTTGGGGGGGGAATGGAGTCTCACTCTGTGGCCTAGGCTGGAGTGCAGCGGCATGATCTCGGCTCACTGCAACCTCTGCTTCCCGGGTTCAAGCAATGCTCCTGCCTGAGCCTCCTGAGTAGCTGGGGTTACAGATGCCCGCCACCACACCCAGCTAATTTTTCTATTTTTACTAGAGACGAGGTTTTGCCATGTTGGCCAGGCTGGTCTCAAACTCCCGACCTCAGGTGATCCACGTGCCTCGGCCTCCCAAAGTGCTGGGATGACAGGTGTGAGCCTCCATACCTGGCCACGTGTTTGTGTTTTCTGCAGGCAGATGCACACAGAGGTGTGTTTGCATGATACATTTCTATCTGTGTGTCCATTCCATGCATGCACACATGTGAATATGTAAATATACGTTCACAACAGTCTGGGTGTGTGCGCGCCTGTGTGTGCATAAAAGTGTATGCATACATGTAGGAATGCACATATAGAAGCATGTTTGCGCGAGTTTGTACATGTGCACGTGTGTGTGCATGGTGTGCGTATGTGTCTGTGTGTGCATAAAAGTGTATGCATGCATGTGTGAATGCACATAGAGAACCATGTTTGCACGAGTGTGTACGTGTGCATGGTGTGTGTCTGTGTCTGTGCGTGCGGCAGCCTTTCCGTTTTGAAACAGCTCCCGCCCTAAAGGTTTAGCCCATTCGCGGCTGCACCTCTCTCCAGAAAGCAGGAAAGCACATTCCCTGTGGAACTCCAGGAAATGCTCCAGAGGAAGGAAGTGTAATCGCAATTACAAAATCAGCGCAGACAGAAATTCCTAAGTGAGTGGAGCTCAGCCTCCTGGGGTGGAGCTTTCCCCCATGTCCCTGTAAATCCTGTCTTCAGGCGGGCTCTCCAGGACCCGGCTCTGGGAGGTGGCTGTTATTGCCCCCTCGGGAAGGCAGCTGCGAACTCTCCCCAGGCCCCCATTCATCTTTCTCAAGCACCCTTTTATTTTATTTTATTTTTTGTCACAGAGTTTCATTCTTGTTGCCCAGGTTGGAGTGCAGTGGCATGATCTCGGCTCACAGCAACCTCCGCCTCCCGGGTTCAAGCGATTCTCCCTGCCTCAGCCTCTGGAGTAGCTGGGACTACAGGTGCCGACTACCATGCCCAGCTAATTTGCCTATTTTTTTTTTAGTAGAGATGGCGTTTCTAATTTTTGTGTTTATTTATTTATTTTAGTAGACATGGGGTTTCTTCACGTTGGTCAGGCTGGTCTCAAACTCCTGACCTCACGTGATCCACCTGCCTTGGCCTCCCAAAGTGCTGCGATGACAGATGTGAGCCACTGTTCCTGGCTTGTCAAAAACCCTTAACACCTCTGTTAGCCACAGTAAAAAGAATCCAGAAACTGGGTGCGGTGGCTGGCATCCGTAATGCCAGCACTTTGGGAGCCGAGGCTGGTGGATCATGAGGTCGGGAGTTTGAGACCATCCTGGCCGACATGGTGAAACCCAGCCTCTACTAAAAACCCAAAAATTAGCCGGGCCTGGTGGCGGGTGCCTGTAGTCCCAGATATTCATGAGGCTGAGGCAGGAGAGTTGCTTGAACCCGGGAGGTGGAGGTTGCGGTGAGATGAGACTGAGACTGTGCCACTGCACTACAGCTTGGGTGACAGAGTGAGACTCCTCAAAAAAAAAAAAACAATGCAGACTCTTCCTCTTCTCCAGCTTGGCACAGGGTGCCTGAGAGCCTCACCTGCCTCGGAGACCACCCCTTCCCCAAAGGCAAACTCTCCCTGTGCCCCTCAGGAGGTGTCACCTGGAGCATCTTGGCTAAAATGCTGGGATCAAGGCTTCGAATCTACCGGTTGAGTCGTGTTTCCAGCCTGTCGTTCCAGGGTCTCCGCCACGGGTGCTGAGTGTCCCCAGCCATTGCCAAGAGCCTCGGGGCTCCCGGAAACCTCAGCATCTCCACAATGGAAGTTCCAAGGTCCGAAAGTAGCAACTTTTATGCAAACACAATGTGACACACCAGCAGTGAAAGTGCTTCGAGGTGGCTCCGGCCTCTCATCCCAGCACTTTGGGAGGCCGAAGCGGGTGGACAGTGTGAGGTCAGGAGTTAGAGACCAGCATAAGCAACATAGTGAAACTCCCTCGCTACTAAAAATGCAAAAATTATCCAGGCATGTTGGACAGCACCTGTTGTCTCAGCTACTCGGGAGGTGGAGGCACGACAATTGCTTGAACCCGGCCGAGGGGGCGGTGCGGAGGTTGCAGTGAGCCCAGATGGCACCACTGCACTCCAGCCTGGGCTACAGAGCAAGATTCCATCTCAAAAAAAAAAAAAAAAGTCGGACACAGTGATGTCTGTCATCCCAGCACTTTGGGAGGCTGACATGGACAGATCACCTGAGGTCAGGAGTTAGAGACCAGCCTGGCCAACGTGGTGAAATCCTGTCTCTGCTAAAAACACAAAAATTAGCCGGGCATGGTGGCAGGTGCCTGTAGTCCCAGATACTCATGAGGCTGAGGCAGGAGAATCGCTTGAACCCAGGGGGCAGAGGTTGCAGTGAGCCGAGGTCACATCACTGCATTCCAGCCTGGGCGACACAGCAAGACTCCATCTCAAAAAAGAAATAAATAAAGTAAAAATAAAAATAAACAAAAACAAAGTGGCTCTAACTGCAGAAGGGGTAGGAGGGAGAGGGGTTTGGGGAGGGTCCCGTGTTGCTTATCAGCTGCAGGCACCCACTTGGCTGAAGTTTGGGAATCAGGTGGGAACTGCGGCGAGGCAGGGAGGCACTTAGATGCATTTTTTTCTTTTCTTTTTTTTCTTCTCTCTCTCTCTTTTTTTTTTTCTGAGATGGAGTCTTGCTCTGTTACCCAGGCTGAAGTACATGGCACAATCCCAGCTCACTGCAACCTCCACCTCCCGGGCCCAACAACTCTTTCTCCTCTGCCTTCCGAGCAGTGAGGATTACAGGCGCGCACTAGCTCGCCCTGCTAATTCTTGTGTTTTTAGTAAAGACGGGGTTTCACCATGTTGGCCAGGCTGGTCTTGAACTCGTGACCTCATATCTATCCAGCTCAGCCTCCCAAAGTGCTGGGACTACAGGCATGAGCCATCACACCCGGCCTTTTTCTTTTATTTCTAGACATGGGGGTCTTGGTCTGTTGCTCAGGCTGGAGTGCAGAGGTCCAATCACAGCTCGTTACAACCTCAAACTACTGTCCAGAAATGATCCTCCCAGCTCAGCCTCCTGAGGAGCTGGGGCTTTAGTGACGCCCCACCATGCCCAGCTAACTTTTTTATCCTGTGGTAGAGGCAAGGTCTCACAATGAGGTCCAGGCTGGTCTCAAACTCCCCACAGTGCTGGCACCATACACATGAGTCACGGTGCCTGCCCTTCAAGCGACAAATTTAATGGGCTGTCCTCAAACCCATCATCACCATGAATACTGTGTTTTTTGTGTGTTTTTGCTTGAGACAGAGTTCAGTCTTATCACCCAGGCTGGAGCGCAGTGACGCAATCTGGGCTCACCGCAACCTCCGCCTTCGGGGTTCAAGTGATTCTCCTGAGTAGCTGGGACTACAGGCGGGCACCAACATGCCCGGCTAATTTTTCTATTTTTAGTAGAGATGGGGTTTCTCCATGTTGGCCAGGCTGGTCTCGATCTCTTGACCTCAGGTGATCTGCCTGTCTTGGCCTCCCAAAGTGCTGGGATGACAGGCATGAGCTACTGTGCCCAGCTATTAAAATTTATTGGGATATATATATTATTTTATTTTATTTTATTTTTTGAGATGGAGTTTCACTCTTGTCGCCCTGGCTGGAGTGCAGTGTCACAATCTCAGCTCACAGCAAGCTCTGCCTTCCGGGTTCAAGTGATTCTCCTGCCTCAGCCTCCCGAGTAGCTGGGACTACAGACACGCCCCACCACAGGCAGCTAATTTTCTATTTTTCAGTAGAGTCGGCATTTCTCCATGTTGGTCAGGCTGGTCTCGAACTCCCGACCTCAGGTGATTCACCCTCCTCAGTGCTGGGATTACAGGCTTGAGCCACTGTGCCTGACTGGCTAATATTTTCAATTGGCTGGTTGAGGTGGCTCACGCCTGTCATTCCAGCACTTTTGGAGGCGAAGCAGGTGGATTGCTTGAGGTCAGGAGTTCAAGACAAGCCTGACCAACATGGTGAAACCCCATCTCCACTAAAAATACAAAAAGTTACCTGGGTGTGGTGGTGGGCGCCTGTGGTCCCAGCTACTCAGGAAATTGAGGCAGGAGAATCGCTTGAACCTGGGAGGCGGTGGTTGCAGTGAGCTGAGATCCTATCACTGCACTCCAGCCTGGGCAACAGTGGGAGACTCCATCTCAAAAAAACAAAGGGTAGGAGGCCAAAAAAAAAAATTTATTGGCCAGGCACGGTGGCTCACCCATGTCATCCCAGCACTTTGGGAGGCGGAAGGGGGTGGATAGCTTGAGCCCAGGAGTTTGAGACCAGCCTGGACAACAAATCAAGACCCCATCTCCACTAAAAATACAAAAAATTACCAGGGTGTGGTGGTGTGTGCCTGTGGCCCTAGCTACACGGGAGGCTGAGGCAGGAGGGTCACCTGAGTCTGGGAGTTCAAGGCTGCAGTCAGCTATGACCGCATCACTACACTCCAGCCTGAACAACAGAGCAAGACCCTATCTTAAAAAAAAAAAAAAAAAGGTTTTTTCATCGATATGAGATTCACCTTCTACACAATTTACCAATGTGAAATGTGCAATTCAGAGGCATACACCACGTTATAAAACCACCACTTCCATCTTCCAGAACATGTGGTTACCCAAAAAAGACACCCCAGACTCATTAAAGACCCCTCGGTCCCCCTCCACAGCCCCTGGCAACCAGGCACCCACGTCCTGTCTGTGGATTTGCCTGTATCTGAGCACAGCAAATAAATGGACTCCTATGTGTACGATGTATGTACATATGATTTGTGTGTGTGGTTTGTGTTGGGAAGCGTGGCGTGCTCATGGTTCATCCACATTGCAGCCTATGGCAGAGACTTGTTCCTTTTCATGGCTGCATAATATTCCACTGTGTGGGTAGAACACGCTCTATTTCTCCATTTGTCTAGAGATGGGTTTTAGGGGTGTCGTCACCTCTTGGCTACTGTGAATGAATCTTCTGGGAGTTGAGCTTTATTTATGTATTTATGTATTTATTTTTGACACAAAGTCTTACTCTGTTACCCAGGCTGGAGTGCCGTGGCATGATCCTGGCTCACTACAAGCTCCATTTCCCGGGTTCAAGTGATTCTCGTGCGTCAGCCTCCTTAGTAGCTGGGATTATAGGTGCAAGCCACCACACCTGGCTAATTTTTTGTATTTTTAGTAGAGATGGGGGTTTCACTGAGTTGGTTGGGCTGGTCTTGAACTCCTGACTGCATGATCTCTTGCATCGGCCTCCCGATGCAGGGATGAAAGCGCTGGGATGACAGGTATGTGACACCCATGCCCGGCCGGGACCTGAGCTTTCCCCAGCAGTCTGGGGTATTCTGACTCTCACCAGACTTTGAAAACCAGGGAGAAACACTAAGAGCAGGCTGGGGGTACCCATCCCTAAAGCATCTCTATGCCCGGCCGTCAGCTGTGGGCACAGCTCTTTGACCAGCCGGACTAGCCATCTGACAGACGTGCAACTCTACCCACGGGCCCGTGTTTCCATTTTCTAGCAAGCACATTGGAGGATCAGAAAACAGTGTAAAATTACCTCCACTGCTCTCACCTTTATGCACTCAAGGCGTCTGAGATGATACTACAGCTCAAGTGTGTGAGCCACATACAAATCATTAATGAGATGGAAAACATCCTTCTTGGTAGCAGGTTGTTCAGAAGGGTGTGTGTCGGGTTGCTCAGTGGGGTGTGTGTCAGGTTGTCCAGTGGGGTGTGTATCAGGTTGTCCGGTAAGGTGTGTGTCAGGTTGTCCAGTGGGGTGTGTGTCAGGTTGTCCAGTGGGGTGTGTATCAGGTTGTCCGGTAAGGTGTGTGTCAGGTTGTCCAGTGGGGTGTGTGTCAGGTTGTCCAGTGGGGTGTGTGTCAGGTTGTCCAGTGGGGTGTGTGTCAGGTTGTCCAGTGGGGTGTGTGTCAGGTTGTCCGGTAAGGTGTGTGTCAGGTTGTCCAGTGGGGTGTGTGTCAGGTTGTCCAGTGGGGTGTGTGTCAGGTTGTCCGGTAAGGTGTGTGTCAGGTTGTCCAGTGGGGTGTGTGTCAGGTTGTCCAGTGGGGTGTGTGTCAGGTTGTCTGGTAAGGTGTGTGTCAGGTTGTCCAGTGGGGTGTGTGTCAGGTTGTCCAGTGGGGTGTGTGTCAGGTTGTCCAGTGGGGTGTGTGTCAGGCTGCTCAGTGGGGTGTGTGTCAGGTTGTCCAGTGGGGTGTGTGTCAGGTTGCTCAGTGGGGTGTGTGTCAGGTTGTTCAGTGGGGTGTGTGTCAGGTTGTTCGGTGGGTTGTCAGGTTGTTCAGTGGGGTGTGTGTCAGGTTGTTCAGTGGGGTGTGTGTCAGGTTGTTCAGTGGGGTGTGTGTCAGGTTGTTCGGTGGGTTGTCAGGTTGTCCAGTGGGGTGTGTGTCAGGTTGTCCAGTGGGGTGTGTGTCAGGTTGTCCAGTGGGGTTTGTGTCAGGTTGTCCGGTAAGGTGTGTGTCAGGTTGTCCAGTGGGGTGTGTGTCAGGTTGTCCAGTGGGGTGTGTGTCAGGTTGTCCGGTAAGGTGTGTGTCAGGTTGTCCAGTGGGGTGTGTGTCAGGTTGTCCAGTGGGGTGTGTGTCAGGTTGTCCGGTAAGGTGTGTGTCAGGTTGTCCAGTGGGGTGTGTGTCAGGCTGCTCAGTGGGGTGTGTGTCAGGTTGTCCAGTGGGGTGTGTGTCAGGTTGCTCAGTGGGGTGTGTGTCAGGTTGCTCAGTGGGGTGTGTGTCAGGTTGTTCGGTGGGTTGTCAGGTTGTTCAGTGGGGTGTGTGTCAGGTTGTTCAGTGGGGTGTGTGTCAGGTTGTTCGGTGGGTTGTCAGGTTGCTCGGTGGGGTGTGTGTCAGGTTGTCCGGTGGGGTGTGTGTCAGGTTGTCCGGTGGGGTGTGTGTCAGGTTGTCCGGTGGGGTGTGTATCAGGTTGTCCAGTGGGGTGTGTGTCAGGTTGCTCAGTGGGGTGTGTATCAGGTTGTCCAGTGGGGTGTGTGTCAGGTTGTCCAGTGGGGTGTGTGTCAGGTTGTCCAGTGGGGTGTGTGTCAGGTTGTCCAGTGGGGTGTGTGTCAGGTTGTCCAGTGGGGTGTGTGTCAGGTTGTCCAGTGGGGTGTGTGTCAGGTTGCTCAGTGGGGTGTGTGTCAGGTTGTTCGGTGGGTTGTCAGGTTGTCCAGTGGGGTGTGTGTCAGGTTGTCCAGTGGGGTGTGTGTCAGGTTGTCCAGTGGGGTGTGTGTCAGGTTGTCCAGTGGGGTGTGTGTCAGGTTGCTCAGTGGGGTGTGTGTCAGGTTGTTCGGTGGGTTGTCAGGTTGTTCAGTGTGGTGAGCGTTGTTCACAGACAGGAGGCATGAGCAGAAACCCGTTACATGCCAACACCCGTACCTGCCGCCTGTCTCTGCCAGCATGGATTTAGGAGCACACTCGCCACGGCCACCCCGGCTGCCCTCTTGCCCTCATGCCCCCGGAGAGAGAGGACTTTACCTTAAATGCAGATTGAAGTTCCCTGTGGGAGAAGCGGCCTTCCTAGCTCCAGTGCAGGAGACCTGAAGTGTCCCCATCCCAGGACTGCGTCCCCAGCTCTGGACGTTTCTGTTATTTTCCTGTTTGTGCTGAAGGAAGCTTCTCCAAAGAGAAAGCGAAGCTTCTAGTCCCCCCTGCAGCCGTTTTATAACCTCCAGCGCAGCCCCACCCCTGGGAGTCAGACCCAAGGCCCATCTGGCAGGGAGGGGGCCTTCCTGACACCCTCTCTCCCTGGGGCCAGCATTCCGGGGTCAGTGGCTTTTGGTAACTGCGGCCGGATTTCCTTGAAAGAGAAACTCTCTTTGAAAATGGTCATGCCTCCCGCCCCCAACCACGTTCTCATTTTCCAGCGCGTGTTCCCCTTCGTTACAATTATACTTGGTGCCTGGCATTCAGACAGGATGGGGAGGCTTCCTGACTAAGTAAAGGCAGCCCTGGAGGGGTGAGTGCCCGTGCCCTGGGGTTCGTGGCTGCGTTTCCTCCCCATCCAATGGGAAAGACACCCCTTGAGATGGGGAGGTGACCCCCAGTCTCACATGATGTATCTTATACAGTTATCGAGGCCAGGCGGGGTGGCTTACGCCTGTCATCCCAGCACTTTTGGAGGCTGAGGCAGGTGGATCACCTGAGGTCAGGAGTTCAAGACCAGCCTGGCCAACATGGTGAAACCCTGTCTCTACCAAAAATAGAAAAGTTAGCCAGGCGTGGTGGCGGGTGCCTCTACTCCCAGCTACACAGGAGGCTGAGGCAGGAGAATTTCTTGAACCCAGAAGGTGGAGTTTGCAGTGAGCTGAGATTCTGTCACTGCAGTCCAGCCTGGGTGACATAGTGACACTCTGCCTCAAAAAACAAAACAAACAGAAAAAAGGTATCTTAGTGGCCGTGCGCTGTGGCTTACGCCTGTCTTCCCAGCACTTTGGGAGGCTGACGCAGGTGGATCACTTGAGGTCAGGAGTTCGAGACCAGCCTGGTCAACAGGGTGAAACCTCGTCTCTACTTAAAAAAAGAAAATACAAAAATTAGCTGGGCATGGTGGTGGGCACCGTAATCCCAGCTACTTGGGAGGCTGAGGGAGGAGAATCGCTTGAACCCAGGAGGCGGAGTTTGCAGTGAGCCAAGATCACACCACTGCACTCCAGCCTGGGTGACAAGAACAAACCTCTGTCTAAGAAATGAAAATCCGTTAGGAAAGTCCAGCCCTCAATGGGGCCCCCTCCAACCTGTCCCCAGCTTCTGTTTCCAGCGCTGCAATCTGCTATTTCTGTTTACTTGGTAAACGCTCTCCCAGACACCCCTCCCCCCCCCCCCTGAATTTATCAACTCTTCTCTCCTTCTTGGCACAGTTCCGGATTCCAGCCTAACCTCAGCCCTTGCAGCCTCCGCCTTGCAGAGAGGCCCCCTCCTTTTTTTTTTTTTTTCAGATGGAGTTCAGTCTGGACTGCAGTGGCACGATCTTGGCTCACGGCAACCTCTGCCTCCCGGGTTCAAGTGATTCTCCTGCCTCAGCCTCCTGAGTAGCTGGAACTACAGGTGCTGCCACCACAGCTGGCTAATTTTTGTAATTTTTGTAGAGACGGGGTTTCACCATGTTGGCCAGGCTGGTGTCGAACTCCTGACTTCAAGAGATCCACTTGCCTCCGCCTGCCAGAGTGCTGGAATTACAGGTGTGTGAGCCACTGGGCCCGGCCTTTTCTCTATTTCTTTCCTCCCTCCCTCCCTTTCTTTCTTCCTTCCTTCCTTCCTTCCTTTCTTTCTTTCTCTTTCTTTCTTTCTTTCTTTCTTTCTTTCTTTCTTTCTTTCTTTCTCTCTCACTTTCCTTGGTCTTCCCTCCCTCCCTCCCTCCCTCCCTCCCTCCTTCCTTCCTTCCTTCCTTTCTTTCTTTCTTTCTTTCTCTCTCTCTCACTTTCCTTTCTCTTCCCTCCCTCCCTCCCTCCCTCCCTCCCTCCCTCCCTTCCTCCCTTCCTTCCTTCCTTCTTTCTCCGTCTCAGGATTAGCAGTCGCCACAGCCCCCATCACAATCCTCCTTGGAGACACGCAAGATCCAAGCGAATGAAAGCACCACCCCAGGTATGGCGGGTGTAAGTTGGACACTGGCTGCGGGGGTGACAGGCCTGAGCCACCGCACCCGGCCCCAACTTCCCCTTCTAGACACAACGCTTTGGGGAGGGCAGGGACACGCGTTCCATTTCACGAAGATGTCAGATGTGCCAGGAGTGGGCACAGGAGCCCTGACAATCTGAGGACTGTATTCTAGTTTTAAAATTATTATTATTATTTTGCAGAGATGGGGTCTTGCTATGTTGCCCAGGCTGGTCTCGAACGCCTGACCTCAGGTGATCCACCTGCTTCAGCCTCCCAAAGTGATGGGATGACACGCGTGACCCACGGTGTCTGGGAAACGCAGGGCGTTCTGGATTCGGAAAGGATCAAGCGCAGATGCCCCGGGCCCCGGCGCCCGTATTGAGCTTTGTGGGTAAGTAACGGGCTGTGTCTGGGATGGGGGCGATGAGGAGGCCGGATGCAGCTGGGCCTACATCCTGCAGTTTCACTGTATCTAGAAGGGGAGGATGGTGGCCAGACGCGGTGGCTCAGGTCTGTCATCCCGGCACTTTGGGAGGCCGAGGCGGGTGGATCACTTGAAGTCAGGAGTTCGAGACCAGCCTGGCCAACATGGTGAAACCCCATCTCTACTAAAATTACAAAAATTAGCCAGCTGTGGTGGCAGCACCTGCAGTCACAGCTACTCAGGAGTCTGAGGCAGGAGAATCACTTGAACCTGGGAGGCGGAGGTTGCAGTGAGCCAAGATCACGCCATTGCACTCCAGCCTGGGGGACAGAGTGAGACTTGTCTTAAAACAGAACAAAAGAAAAGAAGAAGGGAATGGAGGGAGGAGGGAAGGAGAGAGGGAGAGAGGGCAGAAGAGAGAGGAAAGCAGAGAGAAAGAAAGGAAGGAAGGAGGGAGGAAGAGACGGAGGGAGGGAGGGAAGAAACTTGCCTAAAACCTCCCATCAGGCCGCCTGAACTGCTGCTTTTCCATTGGTCTCGATGTTGAAACTGTCAGCCCACCAGGGGCTGTTTTGTGGCGAGAGTTTCCCAGGTGGCAAAGAGAGAGAACCCGGCCTTGGGGGCCCTTCCAGGGTCCCCTCTATGCCAACTTTAACTTCCTGCACCTGCTGTGGCCCCTGTGAGCCCGTGAGGGGGTGCAGGGGAGGCTGTACCCCATCCAGAGGGGGTGTGAGGCCCCACTTCAGGGGCCTGTGTGTTAAACCAGGGCCACCCCCCTGGCTTGGAGCTTCGGAGGCTCTGGGGGGCAACGGTGGCCTCAAGGAGCGGGGGGAGCGGGCGGTGGGGGAGGTGGGGGACTCTGTAATATTTCACTGTGACAGTTTTCCTCCGGAGAAAAAGCAGGAAGTGAGACCCAGCTCCCAAAGTCCCCGTGGAGCCAGACAGCTTTCAAAGCTTTTCTTCTGTCCTGGATAGTCTGCTCAGTCCACGCCATCGCGGGAGCTGCCCAGCACACCCACTCCCCACCCCTGGCATCCCTCCTGCCTCATTCAGTGAATCCCAGAGTCAAGGGCTCCCCCACGCCCGACTCCAGTGATTTTCAGCAATCAGAAGACAGCTCTGAGACCCCGGCTGGGCGCCCTCTCTTCTCTCATGGAAACCTGAGTCATTAGGGTGGAGGGCTCCTGAGGAGCTGGGATTACAGGCGCACCCCACCACGCCCGGCTAATTTTTGTGTTTTTAGTAGAGAAGGGGTTTCACCATGTTGGCCAGGCTGGTCTTGAACTCCTGACCTCACGTAATCAGCCTGCCTTCCTTTTTTTTTTTTTTTTTTTAAAAGATATTGTTCCTCTACTTGTCACCCAGGCTGGAGTGCAGTGGCATGATCTTGGCTCACTGCAACCTCCACCTCCTGGGTTCAAGTGATTCTCCTGCCTCAGGTTTCTGAGTAGCTGGGATTACAGGTGCCTGCCACCACGCCCGGCTAATTTTTGTATTTTCAGTACAGACGGGGTTTCTCCATGTTGCTCAGGCTGGTCTTGAACTCCCAACCCCAGCTGATTCACCTTCCTCAGCCTTGAAAAATGCTGGGATTATAGGCATGAGCCACCGTGCCCGGCCTACTTTTTGTATTTTTAGTGGAGATGAGGTTTCCCCATGTTGGTCAGCCTGGTCTCAAACTCCTGACCTTAAAGTGCTCCACCTGCCTCGGCCTCCCAAAGTGGTGGGAGGACAGGCCTGAGCCACGACACCCAGATGGCCTGATGACACTGGATTCTTATACTGTGGCCTCACATGTTCCCTCCTGAGATCCCCCATTGAGTGTCACAGCTGTGGGATGAACCCCATTCCCTGGGACCCACTGCAAGACCAGGGCTCAGGGTCCCCTATGTTCACCCCTCTCCTGAGTCCCCAAAATTTCCTTTACCTGAGGGAGGGAGGAAGAAACACAGGAGCTGAGCTTCATGCTCTCCCAGGTCCAGGAAGTCCAGACCAGATCCTCAGAGCACCCCACTCCCCCTGGGGGAAATTCTGCATGCAGAGCAGCCATCTTTGAAGGAAGCCCTCGCACCTTTCCCCTCCACGTCTGTGTTTTCCATGCACAGCTTTCAGCCTGGCTGAGCTCTGGGATTTTCCTTGGGTCCCCCACAAGGTGCCTGGTCTCTGCTCACTTCTGGGGTCTCTCCCACCTTTGCAGCTGGCTGAAACTCACCCCATATTCAAGCCATTAGTAAGAAGAATCGGGGCCGGGCGCAGTGGCTCACGCCTGTAATCCCAGCACTTTGGGAGGCCGAGGCTGGTGGATCACGAGGTCAAGAGATCGAGACCATCCTGGTCAACATGGTGAAACCCCGTCTCTACTAAAATTACAAAAAATTAACTGGGCATGGTGGCGAGTGCCTGTAATCCCAGCTACTCAGGAGACTGAGGCAGGAGAATTGCCTGAACCCAGGAGGCGGAGGTTGTGGTGAGCCGAGATTGCGTCATTGCACTCCAGCCTGGGTAACAAGTGAAACTCCGCCTCAAAAAAAAAAAAAAAAAAGAAGAAGAAGAAGAAGAAGGAGAAGAAGAAGAATCGGGAGCTTCACTGGCTCAGGCCTGCTGTTCGGGTGCATAAGGTTAGGCTAGGAGTTCAAGGCCAGCCTGGGCAACATAGAAACCTCCCATTCAGCCAGGTGCGGTGGCTCACACCTGTAATCCCAGTGCTTTGGGAGGCCAAGACGGGTGGATCATGAGGTCAGGAGATCAAGACCATCCTCGCCAACATGGTGAAAC